ATCCAGTGGGCACAGGCAGAGGGCAGAGGAGGGGGACCCACTGTGTCCCCTCTCAGCCGGGCCAGGAACTTCAGGACCCAGTTCCTGTGGGTCCCGGAGAACCTGTGGGTTTGAACGAGCTTCTCCAGCTCAGCCAGCTCCTGTTCCAGTGGCTGAGAACGTACGTTGAAGCTGCACGTCTCCCCAGAGTTGCCTTCTCCGTCTCCCTCCACCTAGCGCCACGGTCACCTTAGCTCTCCCGCCCTCCCCTGCACAGCCCCGCTCTTCTCCAAGGCAGGGAGTTTCCGCCGCCTCCTGGCTCCCTGCCTCTGAGAGGATGTAGAGTGGAATTTGAGTTGGTGAATTCCAAAAATTGGAAGCAATACTATGCTGGGGAGTGGCACAGAACCGCCACGGGGAGGGAGCCTGGCGGGGTCTGGATCGTCCTAGCATTTCACTTGTGGCTTTTGGGGGTACAGGGAAGTTTTTCCTTTAGATGGTTAAATGTATTCTTCTTTTACAGTTTTTGCCTTTAGCGTCATCCCTAGAAAGGCCTTCACCCAAGATTCTGTAAACGTACATTTGTATTTCCTTCTTAGGGTTGTGCTCGTACACTTAAATCTTTACTTCACCTGCAAGTTATACTTGGTGTACACAGAGAGGTAGGGGGCTAACTTCTCCCCTCCAGTTGTCCGGAGCACCATATTGGCTACTCTCCCCCAGGGGTTCAAAGTGCCCCCCTGGCACAGGCCAGATTCCCACGCAGAGAGGAGCGTGTGTGTAAACCTGGCCTCTCCTGTGGACCCTCCGCCCTTCTCTGGCCAGTATCATGCATTTGGGGGTTGGGCTTTTTCTTTCCCATGAGCTTGAGCGTGAAAAACACAGTGAAGGTGAAAGTCCCCAGCATCCCTCGCCTCTTCGCAGTCACCCGGTACCTGAGTTCATAAGCATTTCTCCAGAGCTCTATCCAGGTGCAGACCACTAACACGTAGACCTTTTTGTTCCTTAAAAAGTAGAACCCTCTGCATGCTTACCACCGCCCTGCCTCTTCTTCCCTCAGCCGTCTGGACATGGCTTGGGCAGCACACAGTCTCCTGTCTCGGCCACTCCGTCACGTGGGGGTTGTAACCTGTATTTAGTCAGTCCTCTGTGGCCAGGCTGTTAACCACGTTTCATTAGCTCCAGGCAGTGCCTCGGAGCACGCGTGTTTTCCGGTGTTCATAAACACTGCGTTGGCTTGTTTAGAAGGCAAAAGCCTCTTCAGGTAGAATGGGGGGCCAGACCCCTCATCAGTAGATGTGCCAGTTTTACCACCACCACCAGAGTGTTTCCCTCTGTACCTTCGCGAATGTGATAGAAGTCTTTTTTATGGTCTTAACTTAGGACCTTGACATCATAAATGAGCTTAAACTTCCTCCTGTAGGTTCCTGGGCCTTTCGATTTCTTTTCTTGCCTGTTTGCATGCTGTCCCTGTGTTCCTATTACACGGTTTGCCTGCCAGAGCTCCTCATCTAAGGGGAACATCCACCTTTTATCTTTTGAATTGTGAAATCCCCACCCCCAGTTTCTTTGCTTTCTGATTTCATTTTGTGGTTTGGTTTTGCTGTAGAGTTCAGCATCTTGTTCTGTCATGATTAGAAAAATCTTCCCACCCCAGGGTTACAAAAATACCTTATATTTTCTTTAAATGTATTTAGAATTGCGTTTACTACCTTTCGATCTTTAATCCACTTGGAGGGGGAGTAAGGGGTGAGGTAGAGCTCTAACTTAACTTTTTTCATCAAATGGTTTGCCACTGTCCCTCTACCCCCCCCAGGATTTCCCAACCTTGGGACTTTGGACCAGAGAGTTTGTGGTGGGGGGAAGGGTGCACGCACCCTATGCACCATGGGGTGTTTAGCAGCACCCCTGGCCTCTGCCCTCTAGATGCCAGAGCACCTCCCCTACTACCACTAATGATTCCCACGAGGGGAGTATGGCCCGGCCCTGCCCTGCCAAGTCTGTTTCCGGTTGCTAACTAGATTTGAAAAACCAGAGTGTTCAAGAAAGAATAGTTTGAGGGTGCATTTGAGTGGTGGTAGCCCTGCCCTGGGTCTGGTGCCCGAGCATGCATGAGCTTTAAGATGCCAAGACCAAGAAGGGCCCCAAACACCAGCTTCTGTGCCAGACTCTGCTCACCATGCCCACTGGTGCCATTGCAGGTGGCTGTGGTGAAGTCTGAGGACGTGGGAGCAGAGTTAGCAACTGCTGGTGGGCAGCCCTCCCCAGCAGGTACCACTCCACAAGTGGTGACCCTCCACGTGGCAGAGCCAGGGGGCAGTGTGGCAGCCGAGAGCCAGCTGGGTCCCCCTGACCTCCAGCAGATCACCCTGGCACCTGCTTCATTTGGTGGGACTGGCTACAGCGTCATCACAGCACCCCCAATGGAGGAGGGGACTTCAGCTCCTGGCACACCTTACAGGTAAGACCTACCCTGGGCAAGGCCCCATGCAGCCACTTATTGGCGAGCTGGGGGGAGTCAGAAAAGGGCCCTGCTCAGCCATCTAGTTCCCAGGAGGCCACTGTCCTAATGTCTAAAGTGATTGGACCGCAGCGAGCCGTCGCCTGCTCAGGAGCTATTTTTCTGCTCCCTGGATATCCTGGCACTGGACACTCAAGCTCACCTAAGACATTTCCATGAGGCCCCTCGGCACACACATGAGGAAACAGGCCGGGAGGTTATGTGACTTGTCTAAGCTCAGACTGCAGGAGGTGAGGCTTCGCACCCTGGCCCTGTGCCGTCACCGCACACGTGCTCTTTGCTCCGGGTGAGCCCCCAGGTGCAGCTCGGCGCAGGCTCCCGCTCCTCACTGGCACGGAGGCCTGGAAGCTACCCTGGCTTCCCATACACTGAGCACGAGGCAGCAATGTTGTGTTCACCCAGGCCCTGGCAGCCGAGGCAGCCCTGCATCCGACGTTAGGTTCAGCGGGGCCAGGACCCAGCGCCCAGGGCAACCAGGCTCAGCGTCTGCACTCGGCCCCGGGGCTGCTGGCCCTTGTCAGCCCTGCCCCACAGGCCCTCCCTCCCAACCCCTCAGATCAGATTTGGGTTGGACCCCAGGGCTCTTTTTAGCTTCCACATCCCAAACCGTGCCCATCCAGGAGGGCAGGGATTACTGTGCTTGAGCAGGACGAAGCCTGGATACATGGTGACCTCAGGTGGAAGACGCCGGGTAAGGCAGCGCTGAGGCCTAGGCAGGAAGCCCACCTGGGTGGCAGTCACCACCGTTGATGTGCTTCTCGGAAAGGGGCTCCCGCAACCCTCCATCCTCTTCTAGAACCTGCCTCACCCTCCCCTACTCTGTGTCCATAGTGAGGAGCCCCCAGGGGAGGCAGCCCAGGCTGTGGTCGTGAGCGACACCCTGAAAGAACCTGGCACGCACTACATCATGGCGGCCGACGGGACACAGCTGCACCACATCGAGGTGAGGTTGGAATGGCCAAGCCCTGCCCCGTTTCCCTTCCCTCTCCCCTCAGCGCCTCATGCTCCCGCTCCTCTCCACAGCTGACTGCAGACGGCTCCATCTCCTTCCCCAGTCCCGATGCCCTGGCCTCTGGAACCAAGTGGCCCCTGCTGCAGTGTGGGGGGCTGCCCAGAGATGGTACTGAGCCCCTGTCTCCAGCCAGGACTCACCGGGCCGGGGACCCCCAGGGCTCTGCCTCTCCTCCTGCAGCCAACAAGGCGGTGGGCCTGGTAGTGCCCCCCTCGCCGCCCTCTGCGGCCACTACAACGTCCAAGAAATTTTCCTGCAAGATCTGTGCTGAGGCCTTCCCGGGACGAGCTGAGATGGAGAGCCATAAACGGGCCCACGCCGGGCCTAGTGCCTTCAAGTGCCCTGACTGCTCATTCAGTGCCCGCCAGTGGCCTGAGGTCCGGGTAGGTGCTGCCCCCTTTGCCAGTGCTAGCACTAACTTGGCCACGTTTGTGTGACCCAGCTGGACTGATAAGCCCCTCAAGCCAGACTACTGAGCCCAGTGACGGGAGTTCCCCGTGGCTCTCCCCTCAGTACCGCAACACAGGCCTCGGTCTGGTCTGCACCCTTAGGTCCACTTCCTCCCAGGTCCACTTCACCTGAGCACAGGTTTCCTGAGCCTGTGTTGGGTGTGGTCTGACCTGACGCAGCGTGGCCTCTGCCCTGCCCTTCTGCAGGCCCACATGGCACAGCACTTGAGCCTGCGGCCCCACCAGTGCAGCCAGTGCAGCTTTGCTTCCAAGAACAAAAAGGACCTGCGGCGGCACATGCTGACCCACACCAACGAGAAGCCTTTTGCATGCCACCTCTGTGGGCAGCGGTGAGGCCGGGCCCGGGAGGTGGGGCTCCGGGCATGCACGGGAGGACTGCCTCTGAGCCTGCTTTCCTCCCCTGCAGCTTCAACCGGAACGGGCACCTCAAGTTCCATATCCAACGACTGCATAGTCCTGATGGGAGAAAGACGGGCACCCCGACTCCCCGGGCTCCTGTGCGGACCCCCACCCAGACCATCATCCTGAACAGTGACGATGACACTCTGGCCACACTGCACAGTGAGCAGCCCCTGGGACCCTGGGTGGACCAGAAACCTGTCCCCGAGCATTTAGGGCGGAGTGGGGGCCCCCTGAGTGAGCACTGTCCCTCTCTGCCTAGCTGCGCTCCAGTCCAGTCATGGCGTCCTGGGCCCAGAGCGGCTGCAGCAGGCACTAGGCCAGGAGCACATCATTGTGGCCCAGGAGCAGACAGTGACCAATCAGGTGAGATCCTGAGATGGCGCCCTGGGGTAGCTCAGACAGAGGTGGGGTGCATGAGAGCTGCGCCTACAGCTGGCTTGGCCCCGACAGGAGGAAGCCACCTACATTCAAGAGATCACCACAGCAGACGGCCAGACCGTGCAGCACTTGGTGACCTCTGACAACCAGGTGAGCTGCCGCCCCCTCCAAAACCCCACTCGGGGAGGAATAACCCTTTCCAAACCACTTCCCTCCCCCAGCTCCCCTCATCCCCGTCTGTCTGTCACTGCCATGGTTGATGGCCTCTGTCCCTGGTCCCTACTCCATCTTCCTAGCTGAGCTCCTGGTGAGAGGGCCCCGCCCCTGCCTCCTCTCCACCCTTCAGGTACAGTACATCATCTCCCAGGACGGAGTGCAGCACCTGCTCCCCCAGGAATACGTCGTGGTCCCAGAGGGCCATCATATCCAGGTAGGCCAGGCCTGGGGCAAAGGGCAGAGGGACATAGATCCTCCTTCCACAATCACGGGGTTGGCTTCCTCTCTGCAGGTACAAGAGGGCCAGATCACACATATCCAGTATGAACAGGGGGCTCCATTCCTTCAGGAGTCCCAGGTAGGGCCCTTGGGGAGCTGGGCAGGGATGGGCCCACTGCAAGGCCCCATCTCACTGGCTTATTCCCCCAGATCCAGTATGTGCCTGTGTCACCAGGCCAGCAGCTTGTCACCCAGGCCCAGCTTGAGGCTGCAGCACACTCGGCTGTCACAGGTATGGGATGGCCCCTGAGGACTGCAGGAGCCAGGGGCCCAGGCCTACTCCTGGACCTCAGGCTCACCATCCTTTCCCTTCCCCTGGCAGCGGTGGCCGATGCGGCCATGGCCCAGGCTCAGGGCCTGTTTGGCACAGAGGAGGCAGTGCCTGAACACATCCAACAGCTGCAACACCAGGGCATCGAGTATGACGTCATCACCCTGACCGATGACTGAGCCCCAAGGGCCCACCACAGACCATGGATTATCGGGGCCAGTCCTGCTGGAGGGCGGGGGGAGCCCACTGGGAGCTGCCTCCCTGTTCCACCTAGGGTCTCCCGGTACCGGACAGCCAGCATCCTGGTGTCCAGGGGAGCCAGGCCTGTGCCACCGGGGTGAAGGGAGTCATGGGCCCCAGCCAGGACATGCTGGGTGCCCCAGCCTGCAGGCAGGCTTTGGGAGAGAAATTTATTTTTGTTTGGATGGACCCTCAGTCTCAATAAAGGGACCAGAGTCCAGCCCTGGCTGGCTTACTTTGTCCACTTGCTGCTAAAGCCTGAACCAGGCAAGGGCTCGGAAGCAGGAAGGAGCCCAGAGGGTGGGTGAGTGAAGGCTGCCTGGTCCCAGTGCGACTGGCCCCACCACCGCTAAGGACCGTGGCCTAATAGCAGGGCAGACCCTTGGGCAGAGGCCTGATGCTGGGAACGCTGGCTGAGATGGTGAGAACCTCACTGAGCACCTTTAGACCCCACTTCATCTCCTGGGCACCAGAGGAGCACCTGCTCCCTGCAGAGGGCTTCAGAGAGTGGGAGCAGTCAGGTGTGTGAGGCTGCACCCCAAAGTCCGTGGCAGGTACTTAACTGCTCTTCCTCTTGGTGATCAACTCTGCTGGTACACATGCCTGGCTGCCCTTCACTGTAGGGGCTCCAGGGCCCGCAGGCCTCCAGCGCCTACTAGAGAGCTAGAGGCCACTCCTCGTGCTCACCCTGCAGGCCCAGCTGTGGGGTCTTGGGGCTTGCCAGGTAGATGATGCCGGGAGGTCCCTAGGGACCCAGCTGTGGGGACAACCAGTGAGCAGTAGACACTGAAGTCCTGCTGGTGTGAAGGCCCCAGGGTCATGAGAAGGTGAGCCTGGGTGGAGTGGGGAGTGGTCCCAGTACTCCAGGTTCCTCAGCTTTCTCTGCCCTCAAGACCTTCACACATTCTTGGGGCCGTTTCTGTATTTCCTTTTACAAATGAAACAAGGTGGCAACAGGATGGAGGGGAAGGAGGGAGGTCTCTGGGGCCTATTTACAGGGGTCTTGGAGTGAGTCTGAGGTGGGCAGTTGGGGGTGGGGCAGGGAGGAAGCCCTGGCAGAGCTGTCGTCTTCCTATGTCTTTGGCAGCCTGAGTCCTGCTGCCACCCCAGGGGGAGGGCCCTGGGGTCTGCTCAGCTCCAAGAAGCCCGAGTCCCAGCAGTCCGGAACAGCACCCTGGGGCTCTTCCTCCCCGCGGGATGTGTTAAGTGGGGTGAGGTTCACGGCTAGGGCCCTGCTCACGGCCTGAATCCCGGTCCTTGGTCTCGGAGGAGGAAGAGCCGGTAGAGCTGGAGGAGCCGGAGCCGTGGCTGCGGCCTGACTGTCGGTAGGCAGCACTCAGCTCCTGCAGCCGCTCGGGGGTTGGCCCCCACTTGACAAAGCCAGAGTCGTTCTGTAGGAAGAGCACCGCTGTGTTGTAGACGGCCTTGTAGTGCATTTCCTCCCTGTGGACAAAGGTGGTTGCTCAGGGTGGGGCCTGGCCCAGCCTGGCCGGCCCAGCCCTCCCTGTCCTCCCAGGACACCCACTTCTTGCAGACATGCTGGGAGCCGCTGCGGTACTCGTGCTCAAAGGCAGGCAGGACCAGCTGGTGGCGTTTGAAACGGCTCTGTTCCATGCGGGTGAGCGCCGGGGTGGGGGGTTCCCGCCACTCGGGGATGAACACGATGAAGGACAGGGGCTCCACTGAGCTCTCAAGCAGTTTCTGTAGAAGGGGCACAGGTGGCCATCAGGGGCTGCCTTCCAGGTGGCTGGCTTGCCGCCGCTTCCACCCCCCAGCAGTAGCAGGCCCACCTCAAAGTGAGAGACCATGGCGTCCATGAGCTCCTCGCAGAACGGAGGATTGGCCTCAAAGGAACCACTCAGCGGGGAGAAATCCAGGCAGGGCCTGGGGATAGAGGTGAGCATTCTGAGTCCCACAAGGACCCCAATCCCTCAACCCAAAACAGGTGCCTCCCCCACCCAGGCAGCCATATTGGAGGCTGGCCCTCTCCATGGAATGGGAGACAGAGGCTCAGGCCAAGACTCAGGCCACTTGGGTGGCCAAGTTCAGCAGGTTAGAGGAGGAGCTGGAGTTAAGATTCACTTCCCACCCGCTGTACCACAGCACAAGCCACATCCAGAAACCCCAGCTGCTGGGCTTCCCCTCCTGGGCCTGGCTAGTTCTTCCTACAGTAGGTGGCACCTATGCTCATCCCCCAGCCGTGTGAGCCACAAGGTCTCTGAGGTCAGGGTCACCCCTCTCCTCCTCAGTGCCCGGAAATAGGACTTCCTGCTCCTGAGCTGATTCACTGAGAAACCCGGGACGCCCAGAAGTACAGGGACTACATCCTACACTGCCCAGCTCCGAAGCCCTCATGCAGTGGGGAGCAGTTGGCCGAGGTGGGATCTGGCCTGGGCAGGATGGGGCACAGCAGCCCCTGGCTCTCACCCTCGGGAGCCAAAGTAGCCATCTGTGTCGGGGAAAGCGGAGCAGTACTGGCGGAAGTAGCAGTTGAGGGGCGAGGCAAAGCACTCGAAGCTGACGCCGAAGAGTCGATGGAGGGCCTCGAAGATGTGCACGGGCAGCGACCCCTGCAGGCCTGTGCCTTCATACAGGCCCACGCCAAACATCATCTGCAGAAGGGCCACGGTCAGTCTCTGGGACTCAGTCTCCCCACCTCCAGGAATTCCCTCACTCTGCTGCCCCAGGCTGTACCTGGTACCGTCGGAGAAGACACCAGACTCGGGGCAGGAACCTCTCAAAGGCAGAGTCATCAATGCAGCTGTAGCGGTAAAGGAGCCACTGTGGGACAGAAAGCGGTGACTTGAGCAGCGGCCCCTCATGCCCCTCACCCTGGCCTCCCGCTGAGGACTCTGGGTCAAAAAAGATCCAGGCCCTATTTCACCTGTGTGGTTCTTCTCCCGCTCCCCCAGCTCTTACCAGCTTGCTGAAGTAGTTGCGGCTGACCTTGACCATCTCCCCCTTATACCGGATGCAGACCACGTTATTCTCCACGTGCATCTCCACGCTGGGCATGGGGGGTGCAGACACAGCCAACCGCACTGGGTAGCAGTACACCAGGCGGGGCTCCACCTCCGGGGCCTCCACCTCCTCTGTGGGCAGGGAGATCATTGAGGGGCTACCTGGCCCTCTGCCACTTCTCACCCTGGACAGTCTCCACGCCTACCGCGCCAGGTGCTCTACACACACATCCCAGTAACCAATGGAGGTAAGTTTCATCCCGCGGAGCAGTAACTATGGCGCATGATTTGGCACCAGCAAACTGGTAGAGGCAGGAATTGGTGGCCCACGCCAACAGGCTCCCCCAGTATGGCAGGCCTTGGCACCTGGTAGGCAAGCAGGCGCCAGTGTGTGGGTCTTGCTAACATGCAGAAGTCTGAGAACTACATCACCATCGCAGCAATCACACAGCTTCACTTTGAGAACTTTCGGGGTCAAACCCTATGCTAAGTTATCACCGAATCCTCATATGAGTGTATAGCCAGGTCTTTATGCCTCAGTCTGGACAAAGGGAGGCTCGCTTACAGATATATACACAGGTCCCCCTAACGCTTACCCTGGCTGCCTTTCTCTGCCCCCGCCTGGCTCTCCTATCTCTTTGTTTCGTAGGGGAATGCTAAAACCCGCACAACAGGCCTGCTGGGAGAATGGGTGTCCAAACACTGCTGGGAGAATGGGTGTCCCCAAACCAGTCTGTGGCCTTGAGGTCAGGCCCACTTCAATCAGGGTCTGGGCTACTGTGTTGCGACATCACAGCTGGCTGCCTGCCACCCAGCCCCTACCTGGGATATTGTTTTCCTTGAGGATGGCAAGGTGCTTCTCTCGGATCCGTTTGACATACTCCAGCGAGATGTGGTAGATCTTGCTGCAGATGCCTTCCACGGAGTCCTTGGCTGCAGCCGAGACATGGGGGCCACACTGCCTCCGCAGATGCTCCAGGCGGTCCTGGAGGAGACACTCCTGGTCAGAGCTGCAGGGGGCTGGCAGGGGAGGGCTGCTGGACCCCAGCCAACCTCATTTTCACACTGGCTGTGCTACTTATTAGCTATGTCACTTGGCTAAAGCCTGGTTCTCTGAATCTTATTCCTCAACTGTTAAGTGAACGTGAAATATTTACCTAGTAAGGCAATTTGTAAACATGATCATTCCCATTAAGGCCTTACCAAGGCCTGACATACAGTAAGTGCCCAATAAACGCCAACAACTGTTGGGGTGACACTGTGCCAGGTCCCATGACACTTACTGAGAAACATACAAGCCAGGCATAGTCCCAGCTTACGAAGTATTTGCAGTCTATCGGGGAGGGCTCAATTACAAAACGGGGTGCTTAGTCATCACAGATCTGAAATTTGAGCTTTTAGTGCAGGGATGGCTGTCAGCATTTGTAATTTTGCTGAATCACATGTGTGAAACTGATGAGTGAAAATGAGTCACTCTGGCTAGTGAGTACACCTACCTTTGTCACACTCTACGTGTCAAGTACACAGTTACTATCGTGAAGTGCGAAACCTTGTCTCTTGTGAAAAATGGTCCTGAAAAGAAAGCCCGTTGCTAGTGCTGGTGGAGAGTTAAAGAAATGATGGGTTTAGGCCAGAAAACAACTGTTTGAGACACACTTAAGTAGGGAATTCGGTGTGATGATAGCTTCAATTGTGACACTGAGGACACCCAAGGAAAAGCCGTTTGTTGATCTGTTTCCCAGAATCTACTCACGGGAGATGTTGCCCGTTAAGTTGCAGAGGCAGTTATTAGGGTGTGTGGCCAAATGCAGGATTCCATTAAGTGTCTGAAGGAAATGTTCTTTGGGAGAAAGCCAACAGCCGAACAAACATCTCTACATTTGTGAATGAGGGGCTGATGTCAAAGCTCCGCTGTTTCGTACAAGAATAGTGTGCCCAAAAGCACTGGGGGCCCGCGGGGGCAGCATGGACTTCCTCAAGGAAGTGGCTTCAGAGCCTTTCCACTGGCTTTCTTGCCCGGGGCTACTTACCATATAGTCCTCCTTGGAGGCTGAGTGGTCCTTCCGAAGCCAGCTGAACGTGTCCTCCACATTCCACTTGACCACCTTCCTGCTGTCAGGGGATGCGCTCCTGAGGGCATATGAAGAAGCCGCTCAGCTCTGCACAGGGGCTGGCTGTCAAGTGTGCCTCGTCCTCCCTCCTCCCATCCCACCCCACTGGCCTATGGACCCAGGGCTGACACAGCCCTCAGGAGCTGACTCGCTTCTCCCGCCAGAGAGCAACGGCAGCCCTGAATGAGGCAGCCAGAGCACTCCACCAACCCCGCTCATCACAGACCCATCTCGTCTGGGGCAGAACAGAGTCAAACCTGGACTCGATGAGCCGCCTAGCGGCCTCTGCATATTTAAAAAGCAGGCGCTTGGCTTCTTCCCGGAACTTGATTCGGGATAACCTGGTTAGAACAGCAGAGAGTCAGCCCTTCTTTGTAGGGCTGGGGGTGCACACCGATCATCCCAGTGGCACACTATACCTGATGGGAATGTCATTCATGATTTCTCGAAACATGGACGGTGACACCACTGGCTCACAGTTACTGGGCAACAGGGGGTCAGAGCCTTTGTCCACAACCTTGCGCTCCAGCATCCAGCGGTTGAAAGATTCCCGGGGGGGATCAATGCCTGTGGGATAGGACAGCTGATGAAGGCCTGGGGTGGCCAGCGGGTTCCAGGCTGCTAGGTACTCAGGAAGCACCAGGCGGGCATTGTGGGGGCAACGGTACCGGGCCCTGTCACCACAGGAGCTTATGTTCTAGGTGAGTTTCCCAAAGTACACTCTTGAGAATCGCTGGTTTGTGTTCCCAAGTGTTATACAGGGCGGGAAAAGGGAGAGTTTGGATTCTACATTTCAGAAAAGCTAAGCAGGCTTATTTACAAGTGAACAAGCAGTTCCTTAATGACTTATCCATTCCACTTAGCCCTCGGAGTAATTCTGGGAGGTATGGTTACTCACATGCCCTTTCACAGACGTGTGAAAAGACTTTAAAGAGCACCTGGCCCATCTAACACTCTGGAATTGTTAACCGCTGTTTCTGTTCTTTGTGGAGACAGTGGGATTGTCCCTACCTTACAGATGAACAAACCAAGTGCAGAGAGGTTAAGTGGTGCCCCAGATCACAGAACCAGCTGGGGCTCCACCCAGCCTGCCCCCGACAGGGTACGTTCCAACTCCGGCTCCAGTGTGCTGTGTGCCACGCCCATCTGGCCAACCCCCAGTTCTGCTAAAGGTGATGGGGCAAAAAAGGCCGAGGCCTGGGAGGTTGTTACCCTCTCGCTGTTGGCACAGCTCCCGATAGTGCTGCCGAAGCTTCAGGATGAGCTGGGAGCGAAGCAGCTCCACCTCAGGATGTGGGGGCAGCACCTCTGAAGGCCCCCGGTGCTTGATGACAGCGTTGGTCTGAATGTCCAGATCCCAGTACACTCTTGGGGCACAGAGAGGAGAAATAAGAAAAAAACAGGCACGCCCCACCGTCCAGGCAGGCTGGCCATCCGCGGCGGGCACCCCAAGTCAATCAACAAAGACTCACTCAGTGGGCCGGAGGAGAGCTGCCTGCTGTTTATCTTCAGGGGATGTCCCCCAAATTTTCGTCGTCGGGGTTCCTGGGACACTAGGGGAGCTGGGCACCGACGGGCCCGTGGGTGTCACAGGGATTTCAATCTAGAGAAGAGAGTCAGAGGTGTCAGGTCAGGGGGCTGCCGAGCGCTCAGCAGCCAGGTCTGAGAGCCGGCGGACACTCACCTTGGGCTTCTTCACACCGTTGCCGCTGGGCTGCTCTTCCGAGAGCTGCCGCTTTCGGGGCTTGTTCTCAGCCGGGGGGGTTTCCACCAAGCTTGAGTCTTGGGGCAGTGGGGTCGCATTCAGCCCCAAAGGGTCCGACTGGTGGAGGGAGACCAGCAGAGTTGCAACCAAGGCCAGTGGCTCAGGAGTCCCAGTACTACAGAATCCTGACGCCCTCCGGCCCCCTGCTCCTCCTACTGAAGAGCAGAGGGGGCTGGGATGCAAAAATACTGGGCTCCACTCCTGCCAGCTACTCGAACTGCATGAGCTAGGGCAGTGCCTGCGGCCATGCTAAGCGCCACCTCGTGATGGAGGCAGTGACTACATGAGTCAGTGGGCATAACTAGTTCAGCAAGACATCTGCCACGAGCCCAGTGCTCAGTGTGTTCACTTCTTTTCCTTCATTTCCTTAAGAATGAAAGGCAGGAATAAAAGAAACACTCAAGAAATGCTCCTTTTTTAAAGAGCAAGGTCCTGGGGATGGAACTCCTTGGGTGACACGGAAAATGGCAGGCAGTGTGGCCCTGAGATGACATCACATGTGACTCCTCTGCCCCTGCCCGGCTGCGAGGCTGGTCATTTCCCCAGAGTCTTCCTCTGGAAAACGGGGCTGCCCATTGCCTTGGTTATGCCCAGAGAAGAAAACCTGCCCCCAAAGGCAGGGGTCCAAAGCCCACATTCCCACCCAACACCCCTACAGCCTATACTCGGATGGACGTCCCCATCACACGGGCATTTCAGTCCCCAGAATGCGTTTCTTCCCTCTCACCTCCTCCATTGAGCTAAACATCTTCCCTTAAGCACTCACAGAGAAACTCCCTGTCCTCCCTTTCCCAGACCAATGGGGGTCCCTGATGTCCTCTAGCACTTCACCCTCCTGTCACCCTCCAGACCGGGAAGGGCAGGAGCACGTCTGTCTCGCTCACAAGTGCCTCACAGGCACCGTGCCCAACAGGTAGTGCGAGTTCCACATCACACACCATTGTAATATGTCCTCGGGTCAGTCTCCCCTATTTGTACTCCCGTGAGGCAGACTGTCTTGTTTATCATTGTATCCCCAGGTCCCAACACAGAGCTAGGCACATAATAGCTGCTCAGGGTGTATTTGGGAAGGTCCGGATACCAGAGGCGACTCAGACCCTTGCTGGACTGGCACTCACAATCACATCATGATGACCCAGCACGGGCATCTCCCACAGGGACTGGTTGGTAAATCGGTTGAAGTAGTAGGGACGGTTCTCCCTCCTGCTCCAGCACTTCTCCCAGCCCGCATGCACCAGCTCCTCTGCAAATAAGCGCGGAAACCAGCCCAGATGAGTGCTGCTCCTGGGAAACCCTTTCTACCCCGCCACCCCACCACTGCCCCTCACCAGTACCTGGGAGGTCCTGCACCAGGCGGATGGGCTTTGGAGAACAGGGCTGGCTCTGATTGGAGGTCCCTGGGGAGTGACTCAGCAGGGACGCTTCTTCCCGGGGGCTGCCGTGATTCTCATTGGCCATCTCAGCACCCACACCGGACCTGCCATACAGAGGACCCAAAGGTGTCAGGGCCAGCAGGACACGATGGTCCGCTCCACCTCCCACCCACCAATTACAATGCACCGAGGGACCTAGTGGCCACTGCGGATGTACAGAAGTCAGTTCAGCCCTGTCTGGGCCAGCATGGTACCATAAGAGGAGCCCTGGGGTCAAGGTGCAAGCCCCTCAACTGTGAAGAGTCCACTCCTGCAGCCTAAACCCTCTTTCCCTACTTTTCTGCCTGGACTACTGCTGGGTCTGCACCTTCCAGAAGGCCTCCCTTGACTCTACCTTCCCCAAACTAGGTGGTCAGAGCTCCGCAGGGCTATGAGCATCTCCAATTAGCACTCGGATAGTGCAGTCTATCAGATGGGTGTTTCCCCCATTAGACTCGGTCCTCAGGACTGGGAAATGGGTCCAGCTCCACTTTCTCCAGTGCTCAAACAAGGCACCTGGACACACAGGCGTTCTATTCATTCTGCAAATGTTCACAGAGTCCCAGGAGCAACATACAAGACAGCACAGGGTCTGCTCTTCAAAAGCAAGGAGGGCCTCCCTGGTGGTGCACCACACTATGAAGCTATCCTCAGCCACTGTAGCTCAAGTTCGATCCTGGCCGGCCAAGGAGCAACCCACATGGTGCAGCAGACCACTCCTGCTCGCCTGCCGCTCCCCTCAGCAGTGTATTTCAGTCAGTCCGCTTGATCTGCTCCCTACTCTGTCTTTGGTGAATCCTCTCACCCTCCACACCTCTGGCCTATACCCGAGTTCTTGTATGCATACATAAATAAATTAAAAAAAACAAAAAAAGGCAAGAAGGAACAGTAATTCCTCATTCCTACTCCTACCAGAAAAATCTAACTGGAACAGCACAGCCCAGGAGGGAAACTACATCTAATCAGAGTCCCCATTCTACACTACAGGGCAGGAAGCAATATGTTGCTAAAAGAACCAATGGGACTGAAAAGAACTAATTCATCCCTCACAGTCCCGGGGAAAAGATCTACTTTAAATACCAGCAAGGAAGTCAGTTCCTTCAGATTTGTGTCCCCAGCCACCCCCACCCAAAGCACACCAAGAACAAGCCTCCATGGCCAGTTCCCCACCTAGCATGTTAAGACCCCTGGGGGGCAATGCTATTGTTTTCAGTATGTCACACACGCAAAGGAAATCAAATGTTTACCCACAAAAAGACCACAAAGGCACATTTAAACTCAGTTATCTTTGCTTGCTGAAATTTTATCAACTCAGAGCCACACTGATCATCTCATGCTGACCAGAAGCTCTGATTGGCTGTTGAAAACATCGTAGAAATCATTGGGACATTGATTTTATTGTACATTTAGTCATAGACGTCTTTGCTAATTTGGAATGTGAAAAGTGAACGGTTGCTTCATGGGTACAATTTGGCAAATAAAAATGCAAGGGGACAAATACACAACAGAAGAAGGCTACGGTAACAGCAAGGTTTGGCACCGCCAACCAAGGGAGAAAATACTTAGCTGCTTTAGCTCACTAGGGAAGGAGCGATTCCCTATGCCTTGGGGGCTGAGCCCATTACACAGCTGAACGAGGCCCCTCTTTTTTCTCACCCTCTGGGGTCTGCAATGCTAGCATGAGAGGGTTTTCTTCTCCGGCTGCTTGGAACTCCACGTCACAAGGTCCCACAGACACAGGTAGGAGGCCTGCAAGAAGGCTAGGCACAGGTGGGTGGGCTGGTCAGCAGCAGAGCAAAGACGGGTCCATAAGGTTCCTTGCATCAACAGCTGGAGAGCAAATAGAAGAAAAGTCACAGACCTGTGAAATGCTGCAGAACAGGGACAAGAACAAGAGGACAAGGACACAGAGCAAGCTGGGAGTTCCCAGAACAGGGCAGAACACACTGTGGGAGATCTGGGGGTTGTGGGAGTGCAAACATGCTTGTCACGCTTTCCCAACCGACAGGTTCACCTTCATCAGCCTGCAACCTGCACAGTGCACAGGAGTGCTGGCTTTAATGCTGTCAGTGTCTTGCAATTCTTAATTTTTTAACAAGGGCCCCACATTTTCATTACACGCACTGGAAGACTGTGGATCTGGTCCTGTCTTCCACTAACTACCGCTAACATGAAAGAAAAGTGACTAGACATACACATCGCAGATCTGGGGGCACAGTCCCAAGCCAACCACAGCCAGTTAAATACACACTTCTTTGATTGGGTGTTTAAAAAAAATGTATCATATAACACATGTGCTCGTCTTTATTGAAAACTATTTTCCCCAAGGAATACTGTGTGATACTGATACACCAGACACAGGATGCTAACTAGCAGTTCAGGGAGGCAAATGGGAACACTACCAACTGCCTGTGCATGCAAGCCATCTGGCACTTAGGAAAAAACAAAAGAAACTTCAGGTTCCAGTCCCTCGCTCCACACCTAAGAAGTCAGAAATGGAGAAAGGACGTACACAAGAAGTTGCATATTTTTTAGGGCATCCCAAGAGTAGGAATGGGAAACAGAATGATTATGTTGTTCACTTTACACCGTTTAAACCTTTGCTAAATTTTTTTACGATTAAAAAATGCTTAATTTCCCTGGCGATTTGCATGCAGCAGGTCTGAGGTCAAGGCACCAGCTCTGAGTGTGGCCAGACGCGGGCTGCAGGCCCGGCGCCGCTGTCTGACTTGTCAATCGGAATAACTCGACCTCTGCGGCCTCTACGCGTGGTCTAGCACATTGCTCACTCTCAATAAGCGATCGCTGCTATTAATAAGCCAACATTTTTATTTCTCCTGTGGCTTCCGGGCCCCGCGCACGCCGCAGTCGGAGGTGCCGAGCAGCCGAAGAACAAACAACCGTATCCGCGCAACAGGAGGAACCCGCCAGAAGCCACGGGGTCCGACGCCGGGATTGGAGGAAGAGGGGGCGGGAGCATCTCGGTAATGCACCAATCAGAACCCTCCGACCCAGCGGGGCGGTGTCCAAGGACTTGCAAAGTGCGCAGGTGCAGGGGGCGCGCGAAGGCGAGGGAGGGGCGAGCCCAGAGCGCGCGCCTGCCCCTCCCCCCAGCGAGGGCGGGTTGTTTGGCGCGCGCGCGCCGGCCCATCTGCAGGGCTCCGCCCCCCGCCCCGCCGCGCGCTCCCGCCCCCGGGATGAGGCGACTCAGAGTCGGAGCCCGACACAAAGGCGGTGGCGGCGGCAGCAGAAGCGGAGGGGCCCCAGAGGCCGCTCCGCCCGCACTCTCCGGGCCCACCTCTCTCCCTCAGGCCACCGGCTCAGCCGCCCACCCGCGGGCCTAAGATGGCGGCGGCGGCAGAGACAGGGCGAGCGGTAGCCCCGAGTGGAAAGCGGCGGAGGGGCTGCCGCCGCCCGGCTTCGGATCCCCGGACCCTGGCGCGGCTCGCAGCGGGACCATGACGTCCCGGGGTTCTTACCTGCCTGGAGCGGACTCGAAGGGACGCGACGACACGTTCTGCTCGACCGCCCGTTTTGCCGCCTCCGCCTCGCCCTCCCCAGCGCCGCTGCCGCCATCTTGTGTCCCGGGCCGGGACTCCGCGCTGCGCATGCGCTGGTACCGCCTCTGAAGGACCTCGCCGCTGCCGCGCCGCCATCTTGAGTGTGGCAGGACCGGCCGACTGCTTGCTTTCGGCCCCCTCCCCTTCCTCCCGCTCCTCCCGGCTGTCCCACGCGGGTCTGAGGGGTGGGAGGCGGCTTTGCGGGCCCTGGGCTGCAGATCGGGAAAGGAGCGAACTCACAAGCACGCCCCCTGCCTCAGTTTACCCAGCGAGCACACCCGCTGCGGCCGGCGGACCACGGTGGGCCGTGCACCCGCAGGGCCGAAATAGTGCGCATCAGGGGGCGCGGGGCGGGTTTGGGGCCGCCTGGGACTCGGCTCCGACGCCGACCCGGGGGGCGGAGTCCTGGTGACGTAGGCCCGGGGCGAAGCGGGGAGCTGGGTCCTAGCCCCGGCGAGGCTCCGCCGCCTTTGCGCAGCGGCTTGCCCTCTCTGGGCCTGTGAGAATGTTTCCTGCCATTTCCTACATCCAGGCTGGGTGGAAAGCTGAACCTCCCCCCTAATGCGACTGCACAAGTTAAAAGTGCTCTAGAGTAGAAAAAAATTGAAGACACCCGTGGGGTCAGTAGCAAAGCTGGCTTTTAGCAATGTTGGGATAATGATAAATGCCTACATAATACTGTCCAAAACTACGAGTTGCCTTGCAAAATTTCACTGAGACCACGAAAGTTTGCCCAGCAGGAGACTGGATAGTTGGTTGCAACAGTTTGCCCAGCAGGAGACTGGATAGTTGGTTGCTAGGTGCCCCGAGCGCGGCTCCCTGCAGGTTTCTTCGCTATGGGTGGGCAAAAAGGAGCTCCACCTCCTCCTGGCCTCCCAAGTAGCAGGCCTCCCCCCAGTGGTCGCTGGAGAGGAGGACAAGCTTGCCTCCTGCTGCGCTTGGCTGCTGCGTGGAGCTGGAGCTGAAGGTGCTCCAACTGGGCAGCCTCTGGCGTCAGCGGGGCTGTGTCCCACGCAGCTCGGTGGGAGTGGGCGCTGGCAACACAACTGGAGGCAGTGGCGTGACTTTGAATTAAGAACTACGACTCCAGGGCCTCCTTGGTGGCGCAAGGGGTTAAGCCTCAGCAGCTAGGAGGCTTTCCGCAGCCACTGCAGCAGATCAATCCCCAGCCAGGGAGAAACCCACATGTCCTTCCTCACCCGCTGCTCCCCTCAGCAGTGTATTTCAGTACATCTGCCTGTTCTGTTCCCCACTCTGTCTCTGGTGAAGCCTCTCACCACCCGCACCTCTGGCCTGCACCCCAGCTCTTATATACATACATAAATAAATCTTTAAAAAAAAAAAAGAATGAAGACTCCAGTCTCCCTGGATTCAATTCCCGGCACCTCCACCCTGGATGAGTGGCCTTGTTTAACTTCTGTAAGCTTTAGTTTGCTGGAATGGAATGTAAGTCCTCCTACTTCATAAAAGCTTGGTGAGAATTACTGGAAAGTAGCCTCTAAAGAACTCAGCACAGTACCTGGCACTGAATCCATGTTAGGATTTATTGTGAGGATTGCTCCAGGTAGATCTGAGCTCTCCAGAAATAAGCCTGCTTCCTGAAGGTGCTGTCACGGAGCCTGTGGTTCACCTGGGAGGCTTGATAAGATCAGATGGCCCCCACCTGACACCAACATGACACCCAATGTCCTGTTTTGCCTGTCACAGTTTTTGATTTATGTTTGTCACTTCCTTTCTCAATGGTGCCCCAGTGTCAGCAATGACGTATCTGACCTCACTGAACTACAGAATGCCTAGTTTTATAAGCTCCCCAGCTGGTTCTTATTCACAAGGGAGTGTAAAACCCCCTGTTCTTGCTTTTCTGTTTTCAAAATGTTTCTTCATTCATTGTCCAGATTCTTACTCATTAGTGGCCACCAAAGCGCACACCCCTAGTGCCTGGTTCCCTGTTTTTCATGTAATCCTCTGCCAAGAACCCTGAGAGGAGAAATGATGGTCTGGAATCTACCCATGTGGACCCTCAGGCGGGAGACAAAGTGAAGTCTTGTCCAGGGTCCCTCAGCCATGAAGTCACACACCTGGGTGGTTCAGCCCAGGACCCTCAGCACCAAAACCCATAAAACCACTCTGGCTTCCCTCTCTTGTGGAGAAGGGACTCTGGACTCGGGGGAAGTGATTTGTCTGAGCTCACACGGTGGCTCTCGACATTTCCACGCCTATCTCCTGCAGGTTTCTCTAACTCCGAGCTTTAAACTCAGCTCTTCACCCTCTTCGTTGGCCTCCCCGACTTGTCCCTTCCCACACACTCATCTCCCCCAGCCTCACTTCACTTACGGTCAAATTCAACCTCTTCTCTCCATGTTCATTCCCATTACCTAGAGCAAACCCCACTACTTTAACCTTTGTGAGGAATAGTACACTTACAGAAACGTGCACAGGACAGAAACGCAAAACTGAATGATTTGTCACAGAGTGAACCCCTGGGTAAACATCACTCCATGTGGGTCTGCTACTCCTAAGCGGCCTGTTTGGCCACCATTTTGTTACCTACAGTTCTAAATCCTAAGCAAGGTCAAAATGACCCGTTCCCTGAGGTACAGGAGCCCAACCCTGCAAGGTGCCTTTCAAATCAAACGAGCACAAAGCTGGATCACCTGGGGAAGGCTGTGCATCACCGGGTATGACCTGGAACGCCTGGGGGGCTGATGACTGATGCATAAAACATAACTCTTATACATCACAAATGCCCCGGGGAGGGGGGGGGCGAGGACCTTGTATAACAAGGGACCCCAGAAGCTGATCAGTGGAATGCCTTGTTGATAACATTGAAACCATGGCTGGGGAACTAGAGCTTGATCTCAATAACAATACCACATCATCAAGCAGATGAGAGGTGCCTGGAGGGCAGACTCACCACCCTCCCTTTTCTCTTTGTCCTCCTACCTCTCAACTGATGCTGTATAATTCTTGTGGCAATAAAGACCAAATCTTGCTCCTCAGCAGCCTCCTGCATTATGTAGCCTGCTCCACTCCTCCCGTTTCTCTATCAGTGTGGTGTTGCCCAATGCAGCAACTCAGGTCAAGGTGCTGTCAAGCAGAAACCCCCACAGGGTAATCACTCTTTCCACCACTTTGGTGGCAATCACTCTCTTGCTTTTATAGTTTTGCCACCTGAGCATGCACCCCCAAACACTATCATTTCATTTTGCCTCTTGCTTCAACTTCATATAAATTCAGTTGCACAGTCCTAGTGTAACAGGGTGGTCCCCAGGAAAGGGGGAGGTTCCAGGTTCCCTGCCCCACCCAAGGTTGTAACAGGGTGGTCCCCAGGAAAGGGGGAGGTTCCAGGTTCCCTGCCCCACCCAAGGTTGTAACAGGGTGGTCCCCAGGAAAGGGGAAGGTTCGGGGCAGGGAACCTGGAACCTCCCCATTTCCTGGGGACCACCCTGTTACACTAGTTTGTTCACCTTCTTCTGCTCGGCTTTGCACTTGCAAGTGTCATCTAGAACATTGTCGTTGCTGTTTTCTGTCTTCCACTGTATGTCTCTCCTGTTGAGAGATAGTTGAAACCCCACCTCTTTTCTGAACTATTACAGCAGTCTCCAAACTGGTCTTCTGATCCTCCGGGGTTGCTTCACTCTTCATCCATAATCCACCCTGCAGTCACAGGGATCTTTAAATCTGGTCATATTGCAAATCTGATCAAGTCACTCACTCTAGGCTGAAAACTCTTGAATGGCTCCCTCATTGCCTGCAGGATAAGGCCCCAAGTCCTTTCATGAGAGGTACCCTGGCAAAGTAGTTACTATGGGCTGTGCTATGCTATGTGCTTTAATAATTCAGTTTTCATCATCTGGATCTTCACGTCCTCTCTCATCTGGCTCCTGCCATCTTGAACTATTGGGTTGTTGGAAAAGTCATGACATTTTTTCTATATTTTTCAAGCAAAAATGCATCCTGACTTTTCCAACAACCCAATACATGTAATTTTCCTCAATGTGCCGTGTTCTCTGGGCCCTTGGGCCCTTGCGCATACTGTTCACTCTCACTCCCCCCTCTTTGCCTAGTCAGCCTTCCATTCTTAGCTTAGATGTCACCTCCACCAGGCAGGCTTCCATGAATTCATCTCCACCCAAGTTAGATTGTGTCCCCTCTTCTGTATTCCCATAGCAGCCTGAGTTGACAGCATTTGCCCATTTTTTTCATCCACTGGGTTATGGACTGCTCGAGGGCAGGGCTGGAGCTTGGCCTCCCCTGTGGTCCCCATGCCCAGCACTGTGCTGAGCCCTCTGTAAGTATTTGTTGACTGTGGACAGACCACACTGAGTTGAAGTCTGGGTGACTTTTTTGGGTTTCCCCATTTCTATTCCAGGCTTTGGCTTTAGTGGTGGGAATACCAGGTTGGCTCCCTTTGGGATGCCAAGAAAAGCATGAGTTGCCTGCCGTGGCAGAGTCTCTGCCAGCAGCTGGAGTCCTCTGTTCCCTAGAGGGGAGGAGCAGGTCGAACAACGATCTGTTGACTATTCTGGACTGAGAGGCCTCACCAGACAGCAGGATTAGGAGAGACAGTTGGGGATAAGCAGGGCTCCTTTAGCCGTACCAAATCCTGGCTGGGAGCCTGCTATCTGGCTTCTGAGGCCCCCAGCTTCATGTTAAAAGCAGAAACATAAACAGGCTCAGGCTGCCACATACCTTAACTCCCTTGTTCTCTTCCACTACAGCAAGAGGCTGCGGAGAGGGAACCACACTTTTCAGCCCTTGAAGGTCCTCATGGTTGGGGAGGGGAGGCTCCAGATTGATCCTGTTCCAGGCTGCCCCCACCCAGACCAGGCATGAACTGCCCATAGGCCCTCTTGTGCCATTGAACTAATAGGAAGGTGTTTCCCAAGGCGGGTGGGCATGCCTCAGGAAAGCCATGGAAGGGAGGCTTCTACCCCAAACTGTGGTTTCCACAGGGAGTGGCTCTCTGGCCATTTGGGGCCACATGAGAGAAGCTGTGGAGGCCAAGAATAGATGAGGGAACGGGGCGGTGCCTCTCTCTGGCCTGTGGCGTGATGCTCCTTCCACTTCCTCACTCGGCAGACCCATCTGTATGGAGGCCTGTCCTCAATCCTTGAGAACCAGCCATAAGTGAGATAGGCGCTTTGGCCTCAGGGAGCCCACAGAGAAGTAGGGGAGGCAGACACACAAATAAGCCCTCGGCAGAGGAACACATGGGCTGTATTGGGGTGACCAGGTGGTGGGTGTGCTGAAGAGGTGACAGCGAGCTTGTTGGAAGAATAGGATTTTCTAAGTAGGCAGGGAAAGGGGAGCTGCCACCTGTGCCAAAGCCTGGAGGTGTGAAAATCTGGGGGATGGGGACACTTGGAGCCCCAAATCCCTTCCACCGTCCCACCCACTGCCTCTGCTGCCCCCCTGTCTGCTTTGGGCAGAGTGGCCATGAGCCATAATATTTACACCCATGTGAGCTGAGTCTGCAGAATGAAATCCCAGCCTTCTCTAAAAGAGGAACCAGGGTGACAGCTGGCAGCTTCCAGAAAGTCTGAGATCAGAGGCAAATTTGACCTAGTGAGGAGGACAGAGAGGACACCAAGGGAGCCTGGGGGATTCTTAGGACACTTGGCTTCTAACCCAGAGATCTCAACCCGGGCTGGGGGAAGACTTTTAACAGTTTGATGGGTGACTAAGTTACATTCCATAAAAGTCACCTGTTTCCAATATACAATTCAATGATTTTTCGTGAGTTTACGCAGCTGTGCAACATCTCAGTTGCAGACTATTTCCACCTCCCACCCCAAAATGATCTCTGGTGCCGGTTTGCAGCCAACCCCTTCTCCACCTCCCAGGTAACCACTATCTTCTGCCTATAGATTGGCCTTTTCTGATCTTTCATATAAGCGGCACTGTATAAAATGTAGTCCTCCTGCCTCACTTCTTTCACTTTGCATGTCTTTGAGATCCATCCATGAATTACCAGGGGTTGGTAATGCAACCTTTTCTATTGCTAAACAGAGAGTATGACATTCCAGGCTGCAGACCAGCTCCAGATCACCACATTCTCTTGATGCTTTCACCAGCTGAGCTGCTGGATGTTGTTTGGCTGGAGACAGAGCCTCTACGAACATTCCTGTACAAGTGCTTGAGTGAATCTACATTTTCTTTTTTTTTTTTTTTGTTTTGTTTATACATCACTGGGTACAGTCAGAAGCGCGGGAGGGTGAGAGAATTCACCAGAGCCAGAGCAGGGAGCAGAGCAGGCAGAAGGACCGAAGTACACTGCTGAGGGGAGCAGCGGGCGGCAGGAGAGGTCTGCGCGCCATGTGGGACCCTCCTCCAGTGGCCGGGGAGCAGCCAGGGATCGAACCGGCACCACAGAGGCTGCGGGCAGCTTCGCAACCCAGCGCTCAACTGCTGCGCCACCGGGGAGGCCCTACATTTTCTTTTTAACAAGTTGAATACCTAGGAATGGACCTGCTGTTTAACCATTCTAGTTTTTCTTTGTTGACTCTTGTTACTGTCTTTTCAGTATCTCCTGCTGAGGCACTTTTCAAAACAACCACCGATGATGCCTAGGGTCCATTCCAAACTAAGTCTGAATCTTGGGATTTGGGGCCCAGGTGTAGGTGTTCAAAACAAAACAAAACCAAAAAAAAACAAAACTTCCCTAGTGGAAAAACTGCTAATGTGAAGTAGGGCTGGGAACCAGTGACCTCACTTCAGGCCTGAAGCTCTGTCATCTGGGGCCCTGAGAGGGAGCGCAAGTTGAGGCAGTGGCCTTGCACACACCAGGGAGTATGTGGGCTCCGGAGTGGGAAACAAGATGCCCCCCAAGAAGACACATGTAAGGTCCAAGGCAGGCAGGACTGCCGGAAGGTGAGATGCAGGAGTCCGGGAGTAGATTGGTCAAGAAGTCCTCAGCTGAGATCCTGAGGGGGCGCCTCCCCGACCTTGGGGACTGCTCTGCCTCTGAAGATATTAGGAAAGCATGGCATTCCTGGCTGGAGACCAGAGCCAGAAAGCCCCTGAGAAATGCAGGGAGATGGGTGGTGCAAGCAGGAAGCACTGGGAGCTTAGAGGCTCATGGCGGGTGGGGGTGGGGGATTAACCCAGGCCCACACTGTTTAAGATAAAATCTTGTTTTGAAAGGTCTGCAGGCGCCCCTAACCACTCTCTTTTTGTGTGCCAGACCCCATGCTGGGCACTGGGAATACAGCCAGGAATCAGTGTTAGGCTCCCATCCCCGTGGAGCATACAGTTTACTGGGAGACACAGACAAGAAGGAGTAAAAACAAAAACCAGAATGACAGGTCATGTGGGGGAGGAGCTTCCAGTGTAGAGACATCTGAATTAAGATCTGGGTGAAGAAATGTCACTTTGCCGGGGCCTGCATGATGCTGTACTTGCAGAGGCTGGAGTTTGCCGTGTTCCAAACAATGGCCGGGGTGGAGCTAGGTCACCCAGAGTCTTGGGGTGGGGAGAAAGGCCAGAGTCTGGGCTTTATTTGTGTGCAATGAGCAAGGAATGGAGGGTTTTGAGCAGGGTAGCAAGATGCTGCGGAGGCATTTTTTTTTTTATTTATTTTTTAAAGATTTATTTATTTATGCATACAAGTACTGGGAAACAGGCCAGAGATGTGGGGGGTGAAAGGATTCACCAGAGACAGAGTGGGGAACAGAACAGGCAGATCAACCAAAATACACTGCTGAGGGGAGCAGCAGGCAAATCAGGAGAGGTCTGCTGCACCATGTGGGTAGCTCCCTGCCCGGGTATCAAACTCGTGCAGATAGCTTCAAAGGATGCATCTTAACCCATTGAGCCACCAGGGAAACCAGAACTCAAGGGGCGATAGCGAGGTAGGAGATGAGCACATGTAGCACATGTTCCAGGTACCAGATGAAAATGGCTGGGACTAGGGTCAGTGCAAATGGAGAGACAGGAGAGATGTGGGCCCTCTTCTGGGTTTCGTCACCAGGGTTCACTGACCTGGGGTAGAAGGAGAAAAGGGAGTTGAGGGCGACCCCTGTGGTTTTGTTTTTTTTTTTTTTTTTTTTTTTTTTTTTTTTTTTTTTTTATAGAGGCATGTTTATTTCTTTATTTATTTGTTTTGTTTGTTTGTTCTGTTTACACATGCACTGGGTGCAGTCAGAAGCGCGGGAGGGTGAGAGAATTCACCAGAGCCAGAGCGGGGAGCAGAGCAGGCAGAAGGACCGAAGTACACTGCTGAGGGGAGCAGTGGGCGGCAGGAGAGGTCTGCGCGCCATGTGGGACCCTCCTCAGGTGGCCGGGGAGCAGCCGGGGATCGAACCGGCGCCGCAGAGGCCGCAGGCAGCTTCGTAACCCAGCACTCAACCGCTGTGCCACCGGGGAGGCCCCGACCCCTGTGGTTTTGACTTGAGCATCTGGGTGAAGATGGGGCCATGGCCTGAGATGGAGAAAACTGAGAAAGAAGCAGAATTCTCACCCCCAGGTGATGTCCTGAAACATGGGCCTAGCTGTGCAGAAAAGAGAGGGGAAGCCGGGGGGCTGTGATGGCCTCCCCATTCCCGGCTGGGGGGCGGGAATCCCCGTTCCATCAGAGCCTGTGTATGCTGGCTCTTCAGAGACCCGGGGGAGAAAAAAGCATCTCAGAAACAAGACACTAGAAGGTGTTGGGTACTTCCTGCCACCTTGTGGAGGGCGCTGCCCAAGAGCCGAGCTTACACGGAAGACACAGTGCCTTGTTGCCTCTCCCTTCAGGTACTTGCAAATTTCAATACTGGCTTGCGAAAGGCAAACACCCAGCCAGCACGGCTACAGGGCTGAATCCCTTCCTCCCAGGAGAGCCTGGGAAACCCATGCCAAGTGACTAACGAGAGCCAGGTCAGGCAGCTTAGAGGACCTTGGAGAAAGGCCCCGTGAGTCAGAGTCAGCTAGTGGGCTGCAGTCAGCTGCAGGCCGCAAGAGGCCTGGACACTGGACTTGAGAGTGGGCAGACGAAGACAAAGCACAAAGCCATCAGACCCGGTGCAGGTCAGCTCGAGCTGAGCTACGAGGGACAGGGCGCAAAGATCCAGGGCATAAGGACCCAGAAGCTGGGAAGCAATGAGAAACGGGAGCATACTCGACTTTCAAACTTGGAAGGGCCTTCCGGGGCCACATGACCAGCGCCTTCCTCAGAAAAAGGAAGTCGTCTTCAAGGAGGAGATAGGAAAGAAAAGAAGAAAGCAAAAGACCAGGTCCCCAAGGTTCAGAAGCCACAGAAAGTCAAACAGCTCCACCCTGGCTGACCTCAGAAAGCCGCACCCCTTTCTCTCTCTCCTCCCCTTTGGTAAATGTCCGCCTCCCATATGGGCCGTTCTGTCCCGCTGCTTTCTGGAAACAGGTGGTTGTTTCACCCGTTTGGGGAGATGTAATCAGAGTCTCCTGACATCTGTCTCCCGCCCCGCACCTCTCCCCCTCATTCCAGCCAGGCCCCCTATCCTAGGTTCCCAGCACCCCTCGCTGACCAGCACAGACACAAGGGCGGTCATTTCCTGGGGAGCAGCTTGGTGGGCGCTGGGAGTGGGGAGAATGGTCAGGAGGGGAGATGGGCTGACGCAGCTTCTCCAAGCCATGCAAGCTCCAAAGAAAACACAGCTGGACCCAGGGAGGGGGAGGCCGAGCGGGACCGCGCGTGTCGACATCGCGGGCAGAGGTCCAACTTGGCAGCGCGGTCAGCGGCGCCTGTTTATTTGCTTGGACCACTCCGTTTCCCAATCTGCAAAACAGGGACACGAGCGATCTCAGGGGATGTGGATTAAATGGGATCGTTGAAAGAAGAGATAATGGAGTGCAATGGTTCTGAGCACGGGCTCTGGAGCCAGACTGATTTAAGTCCTTCGCCTCCCTGGGCCTCAGTTTCCTCATCTGCAAAACTGCAGGGGTGAGTTAGTATGTGTAAAGCCCTCGTTGTTTGTCAGACATACCGGTAATTGCTCATGACGAGAGACATGTCTGGAGCCCTCTGTGTGCCAAGGACCAGGTTCAGAGCTGGATTCATCTTCAAAGCTCACTCTCACCCAGGGAGGTCGGAACTAGAGCACCCCCATCGTGCAGCTGTGGAAACAGGCTCATAAGGACTTGTTCATTTACTTTCAAACAGGGTCTGGCAAATGACACCAGGCCCGTGGGCCAGATTCAGTAAGCGGCTTGTGCAGCTCGGTGTTGCCTGTGGCTGCTTGGATGCCATGGCAGCGGAGAGACTGTTGGGCATGCACACGCCAAAGCACGGGGGCTCCCTGGTGGTGCAGGGTTTAAAGTCTCAGTGCTATCAAACCGTCACCAGCCACTACGGCACGAGTTCGATCCCCGGCCAGGGAGCTGACCCACATGGCACAGCAGACTCTCCTGTCTCGCCCGCTGCTCCCCTCAGCAGTGTATTTCAGTAGATCCTCCTGTTCTGCTCCCCACTCTGTCTCTGGTGAATCCTCTCAGCCCCACACCTCTGGCCTACACCCCAGTTCTTTTATGCATAAATAAATAAATATTTAATAAAAAATGCATACTATTTTGGAAATATAGGAAGAGTCCGTTACAGGAAAAGCTTGCAGACCTCTGCTCCAGAAAATGGCAGAAGCAGGATTTGAATCAGGTCTGTCAGGATCCAAAGCACTTAACTGCTAAGCTATCCTGGTCTTTCTGCAGTGTCACTGTGCTGGGGTCACAGTTGAGGTTAGAAAACCATTTATCTCTTGTCCTTTTGAGTGTGGGGAAACTCCCCTTCCCTCTGCAAAGGCACACATGAAAGCAGAAGGGGCTATGGGGATCCTGACATCCATTCCTCAAGCCAAGCGCTGAGGACTCGGGGAAGCTGCCAAATCCCCTCCTGGCCTGCGCTTCTGCCAACACTGCTCTGAAGCGAGGGTTGGTGCAAAAGCCTACAGAGAGGAGGGCAACCCATGTGCCGGAGAGGGGGCATCAAGGCCTCCCCAGCCCAGGGTAGGGCTTTTAGAGTGAGTTGGGCTGAGACTGCTGAGGTGCGGGGTTTGATAAAGAATCCCAGGGTGCTGAAGGCATTGCCCAATCCCCAGGGTCATCTGCAGATTCCAGTTCAATCACTCAGCAAATACTTACTCAGCGGCTATTCTGTGCCAGACACTCTTCCAGGCACCGGACGTAAGTGGAGAACCAGGTGAGAGTTCACATGGAGTCAACCAATCAACTAATATCCAATAGTCCTGAGATCTATAAAGGAAAAAAAAAAAAAACCAACCAGACTGATGAGATTGAACAACTACTAGGTAGGCACTTAAGCCAAGACCAAAACGACAAGGATGCAGCTGTTTGGGATGAGCAGATGGAAAAGCATTCTAGACAGAGAGCAAAGGTCCCAAGCAAGAAGAATTTAATTTGCCTGTTGAAGGATCCCAAAGGCTAGCGTGGCTAGAGTAGAATGGAAATGGGTAAGCGTGCTGGGAGATGAGGCAGGGAAGGCCCCACACACCTGGAAACCAGGGCATGGAGGCAGGAGCTCACCCCATGGGACGCGCTGGGTGATGCTAACAGTTTTTGAGCCGTTACTAAATGCCAGGTGCTTATTAGGCCCTTTAAGTGTAATCACCTGTTGAATCATCATAAGGAACCCTGAGAGAGAGGAGCTCTGATTGCTCTCACTTTACAAATGAGCCCATGGAGGCCCAGGGAGGTTAAACCATCGCTCAACGTCACACAGCAGTATTTCAGGCTCCCTGCTGTGAGGACAGTGACTTTCAGGGGGACAATGATGCAAAGACAGAGCTTGCATTTCCGTTAAGATGGGAGAGGAGGGCCTCCCTGGTGGCTCAGGGGGTTGAGCTCAGCGCTATGAAGCTGTCCTCAGCCTCTGCAGTGGGAGTTTGATCCCCAGCCAGCCAGGGAGCAACCCACATAGTTCAGACCTCTCCTCTCTCACCCGCTGCTCCCCTCAGCAGTGTATTTTGGTCCGTCTGCCTCTTCTGTTCCCCACTCTGTCTCTGGTGAATCCTCTCACTCCCCACAACCCTGGTCTGTACCCCAGTTCTTGTATGCACAAATAAATAAATCTTTTTTTTTTTTTTTAAAAAGGGGGTGGAGAGGAAAGAAATCAGACATCCATCCAGGTTTTCTGCTTGAGCTCCAAGAATAGCAGGGTTACTAGAGTACAAGGTCATACAGGCACTTCCTCATCTGGATAGCAGCAGCTTTTTCTCTGTTCCTCCCCTACACCCTGGGGTGCTTCTGGTCTTTGTCCCTGTCATAACAGTTAGCATTTATTTATTAGCATTTAATGGTGTGCCATGTGCTAAGCCCAGCACAATGTGCTAAGCCTGTTTAATTTATTCTTTAAGATTTATTTATTTATGCATACAAGAATTGGGGTACAGGCTAGAGGTGCAGGGGCGGGGGTGAGAAGATTCACCAGAGACAGAGCAGGGAGCAGAACAAGCGGATCTACTGAAATACACTGCTGAGGGGAGCAGCAGGCGAGACAGGAGGGGTCTGCTGCACCATGTGGGTCACCTCCCTGGCCGGCCAGGGGATCGAACTCGTGCTGCAAAGGCTGTGGATGGCTTCATAGTGCTGTACTTAACCCCTTGCGCCACCAGGGAGGCAAGCAATAACCTTAAGTCAACTCCATTTTAGGATGAGGGAATCGAGGCTCAGATGAGGCAAATAAGATAATGGAGGTTCAGAGCTTAAGTAAGGGGTCCAAGGTTATACACCTAAAAACGGACAGCCTAGGATCTGAACCCTGGTCTGTGGACACAAGAATCTAAGCCCTTAACTACTGAGCTATAAAATCCCACTAGCTCCCTTCCATGAACAGTTGAAGGGTCCCCCAATAAGGTTGCCTCCAGTTTCCTGGTAGAGAGGATTCATAATAGTGTCAACCTCGCCAGTTGTTGAGAAGGTTAAATAACTTAATCTAGATCTAGGCTGAAGAGCCATCCAGGTTTGCTGATGGGGGTTCCTGGGAAGGGAGACAGTCAGTGGTTCATCCCACCTGGCTGCACGCTAACAAAATACATGTTCCAGGGACATCAATCATCCTGGCTTCTCCTTCCTTTTCTTTCTCACCCATTTGGCAACAAAAAGGTAGCAAACACCTATCCCATTCCTGTCCTGAAAGCTGGGAACACAGTGTGTGTGGGGGGCAGGGGGAGGGGGCGGTTGGGGGATGATGCAGAGAATCCAGTTTCAAAAGTTCATCAAAAATCCACAGTTCCACAGTTCCTGGAAAACACCCAATCTGCCTCTGGGGTGTTCCCGGCTTCTGTGCTGCTCCTCCCTGGCTGGTCACCCTTGCTTGGAAGCCCCTGGGAGTCCTCTGGGTCCTTCAGGCCCCCAGGTAGTGATGTAGAGACAGGTGGAGTCCTGCAGCGAAACCCAGCGAGGAGAGGTCTGCAGAGGGAAGGGGGGTGGGGGAGGATAAAACGCGCCCTTGGCCTTGACTGTGCATTGCCCTGTGCAGCCCTTCAGGCCCCAGAGGCAGCTCCTGCTCTCATCAGATTTTGCTGGATGAGGAAACTGAGGCTGAGCGACCCACGTTGTGACTTGCCCAGGATCCTGCAGGAAGAGATGAGTAATTGGAATTTGAACCCAAGACCTAGTGAACCAGGGGATCTGGGGGCTGGGTAGGCCGACTCCTGCCCCTCCCTCCCTCCCCTCGGCGTGGGTCCCCCCCACTTGGCTTGACACAAGCCAGGCTTGTCACGGGGCTCCATACAGCCCTCTCCACCCTCCGAGCTGCCAGCGTCCCGCCCCGTCCCCTCCCGAGCGCCGAAGGAGGAGGGAGAGCGGGAGAAAGAAGGGGGGTCGGGAAGGCCGGCTTTATAAGGGCGGCTGGAACGGCGCTGCCCGCCAGACCCGCCGCCCGGAGCCCGCGAGCTGCCCGCCGCCCCACGGGACCGCCTGGGCTCCCAGTGCCGCCGCAGAGTGAGTTGGGGCGCGTCCCCACCCCCCCACGCCCTCATTGAGCCGCGTGGTCCACTGAGTCCGGGGTGGAGAAGGGCTCCCCTAAAGCAGGGAGCTGGGGTGGGGGGCGCGAGGCAGAATCCGGCAGGGGGGACTTAGGCCCGGGCCGAGGCGGCCGGCAGCGCCCTGCTGGCGGGCGCGGGGCCGGGGAGACCGCGAGCCGCCCCCCCGCAGTGCGCGTGCAGCGGTCTCCATGGTAACGTGGAAGCCGCTTCTGCCCCGGGCTAAAAGGGGAGGATGTCGGGGAAGGGGGTGCCGGCCCCTGGAGGCCCAAACTTCTCTCGCGGCGATTGCACGAGAAAACCGAGGGTGCGCCCCGCCCGCGAGCCCCAAGCCCGCGGGGAGCAGAGAGCGCGTCGCCTCGGGACCTGTGTTCGCATCCGCCAAGGGGAGGCAATGCTGTTGGGCCCCAGCTCCCCGGGGAGGGTCACGAGGGCAGCGGTCCGGGCCCGTCCCCGCCTCCAGGCGGGCTTGCGAGGAGGGGGCTTGAGCCGCCCCAGGACTCCCGCGACCTCCCCGCCCCCAGCCCCCCGCCATGGCCCTGCTCGGGACCCTCCTCCTGGCGCTGCTGGCGGGAGCTCGGGCTGAGCTCCCGGGCTGCAAGATCCGCGTTACCTCCAAGGCGCTGGAGCTGGGTAAGGCCCGGGGCGGGGGATCCGGGCGTGTGGGAGTGGGGGGTCGCCCCAGCGGAGGGCGCGGGAGCTGAGGGTCTCCCCGATGCTTCAGTGAAGCAGGAGGGGCTGCGCTTTCTGGAGCAAGAGCTGGAGACCATCACGATTCCCGACCTGCGGGGCAGAGAGGGCCACTTCTACTACAACATCTCCGAGTATGTGGGGGAGCTGGTGGCGCGGGGGCTGGGGGAGGCCGCGCGGGGTGCTTGAAGGCGGCCCCTGGGGCGGGGCCTGGGGCGCGGGGGGCGGGGCTGGGGAGCCCGCCCGGCTCGCCGGAGGGGCCGCAGTGAGGGTGGGGCGGGGCCAAATCGAAGAGGCGGGACTTAAGGAATTGGGGTGCCGCTGAGAAGATAAAGGTCAAACCCGCCAATACAGGTGGGACCAGGCAGTCGGGGGTGTGGGGTGTGGGGTGGGCTAGAAAATGCAGGTGAGGCCACAAGAGCAAAGCAGACCCGTCGATTTAATAAGGCGCAGCCAAGGGACCCCGAGAGGCGAGTCAAAAATTCCGCCAATGAACGAGAGTGGGGTCCAGGGCACCGAGACCGGTCAGGGGAACAGGATATAAAGATTTCGGGTGCAGGATGGGAGGGGTCGGGGGATTTGGATATGGGGCTTAAAGAATGGAGGCAAAAATCCAAAGACCAGGTCTAGCCACCCCAGGCTGTGGGAGGGAAGGGGGTGCAAGTAACCAAACTTCTACATGACGGGGTGAAGCGCCCTTTGAACACCTGGATCAGAGGGAGCTAATGCATCAGCCAAGTAAGTCCACGTTTGAGTCACCCAAATCCAGGTGGAGCACTGAGGGCAAACGGAAGAATTCATTCACCCACCTCACCTTCCCCTGCCCGAACTGAATTTCCCGTGGCTGGTGCGGGCCCCCTCTTCTTGGTCCTGAATCTGATTTTGAGGCCTCCCGCAGGGTGAAAGTCACAGAGCTGCAGCTGACATCCTCTGAGCTCCATTTCCAGCCAGAACAGGAGCTGATGCTACAAATCACCAACGCCTCCTTGGGGTTGCGCTTCCGGAGACAGCTTGTCTACTGGTTCTTGTGAGGATCTGGCACCCTCAGGGCAGTGGCGGGTGAATCAGGAGGGCCTGTGGGACTCTGGGTAATCCTTTAGCCTTTCTGAGTCTCAGATTCTCCATCTGTACAATGAAGACAATAATACCCACTTTGTGGGGTTTGGTAGTCTGTGTGGCACCCTGCAGAAGTGAAGCCTGAAGAGGTATCGTGATGGGTGGGGGTCAGGTGCCCCATGTTCTAGGGAGGAGGGTAGTGAAGACTCAGACAAGCTCCATGCTTGAGCACCCCCATCCCTTGGCAGCTATGATGGAGGCTATATCAACGCATCTGCCGAGGGTGTGTCCATCCACACTGGTCTGAAGCTCTCCCGGGATCCCACCGGCCGGATCAAAGTGTCCAACGTTTCCTGCCAAGCCTATGTCTCCAGGATGCATGCAGCCTTTGGGGGAACCTTCAAGTAAGCCCGTCCTGTCCCCAACCCCAGTGCAACCCCTTTGCTGGCGCAATGCACAGTGCACAGCTTTGGGAGTTCAGTGGGTCCAGATCTCAGTGCCACGTCCTGGCTGTGTGGCCTTGGGCAAGTCACTAGAGCTCCGTGCTTCAGTTAATATGACCTATTTTGCAAGATGTTGTAAGGGCTATTTGTGTTAATAGATGTAACATTTATATATTTTTTACATATATTAACACAGTATTAGCAGAACCTGGCATATAAGTGAATAGCCACTTAGGTAAGGGCAATTGTGAGAATGAGTGTGTACAGTTTGGCATGCACTGGGTTCTTAATAATTGGTAATTCTTACTACCAATACCAAAAATAACATGGCTCCAGATTTTGGGTCAAGGGGGACTTTGAGCTGGGAGTCTGGGAAGACTGCCTGGAGAGGAAGCATCTATACCCAGAAAGGGGGAGTCCAGAGCAGGAGGTCTGAGGGTAGAAGGGAGGGCATGAGTAGGAACTGTGGGCAGATTCATTAGGCTGCTGGCTGCAGCGGGAGGTGAGGAGGCCTTAACATCCAGCTGGAGGGGGCACTCGGGTCGAGACCTGGAAAACCTCCATTAAGGAGCTGGCAATCCAGGGGGAAACAGATGTCACCACCATCTCTCTGGTCATTGTGGTTGCTGCTGGGCCTGGACTGGGGTTGGGCAGAGTTCGGGCTCACCTGGCTTCTCTCTTCACAGGAAGGTGTATGATTTCCTCTCCACATTTATCACCTCAGGGATGCGCTTCCTCCTCAACCAGCAGGTGTGAGCAGTGGCAGATGGGGGGACAGTGAGGGCAGGTGTGCCTTCTCTTTTGAATTCTGTGACTCCCTCCCTCTCCCAGATCTGCCCCGTCCTCTACCACACAGGGATGGTGCTACTCAACTCCCTCCTGGACACCGTGCCTGGTGAGTTGACACTGGCAGGGCGAGGAGCTCTGGGCGAGGCCCTGGAGCTGCAGAGGGGTGAGGAGGTTGGGTGCGCCGCTGGCAGGCAGCACCCCAGGGTGGACCCCTCCCCAGGCTGGCTGTGCTGTGGAACAGTCCTGAGCTCACACATGGCTGCTGCCTGCACGTGTGTGCCCCCAGCTAAGTGCTGACTTTTCTCTGGGCCCTGCCTGCCCTTGGGGTTGCTGTGAAGATTTCCTGGGGGGGATGGTCATCCAGGTCAATGTGTGTTTGACTTCATCACTTAATAGGTGCTCAATTAACATGAATTCTCTTTTCTTAAGCTGTGACCTGGGTAGTGTGGGGCAGAGATCATTACTCACACACAGGGCATGGGAGGGAAGGAGGCAGGAGGGGAAACCAACTGGGGATTTTGTTGCCATCTTGCTTAGTGATTCCATGAATGTAAAAGTAGTGGGATAAAAATAACAATAGCTAACCTTGTTGAGCACTCGCTGCACACCAGGCACTAAGTGTTTTCTACATAAGACTGACTCGATCCTCACAACAACCTTATAAAGGAAGTATTATAGTCACCATTTCATGGATGAGAAACTGAGGCCCAGAGAGGTTAAGCATGTTACCCAGCATCACACAGCTTTGAGTGACACAAGGCCTCCCCGCAGTGCGCAGCGCTGTGGACAAGCATGTTGGCATTGACTACTCCCTCTTGAAGGATCCTGTGGTGTCCGCCAGCAACCTGAACATGGACTTCCGGGTGAGCGCTCTGGCTGGTGTGTGTGTCACCTCTGCCCAGACTCCCTCCTTCTCCTATGTTGCTGATGTTAGCTTCCTAAGGCTGGGCTCTGAGGAGGACATCCCATTGCTGAGAACGCCTTGGGCTCAGCCTCCAGCATCTGGCATTTGAGCCTGCTCAATCTTTTCTGGACCCATTTCCCCAACTTCCCCCTGTTCCTCGGCCACTATGCTTTCCCATATGCCCTCACTTCCTGCCACAGAGCCTTTGCTCATGCCCTGCCTTTCCCCGTCTCCTCTGAAGAAGTGGGGCATGGAACTCTATGCACATTTCACCTTCTCATAACCCTGAGTCAGGCACTAACATGCTCATTTTAGGGGTGTGGAGATTTGCTCAGGGGTGACATCACTTGCTCAAGGCCACACACCTGGTATGTGAGCATACCTCTGCTCCTCCCAGTGTGGTAGTACAGTTCCAGAGCATGGGCTGGAGCTGGAATGCTTGAAATTCACATCCTGGCTCACCATCTACTTACTGTGTGACCTGAAGCAAATGGCTTCACCTTTCTGTGCCTGTTTCCTGCTAATATATAAATGGAAATAGGACAGTCAGAAAACATATCTTACAGGGTTGTGATGTGGATTGAAGGAGTTGGCCTCTGTCAAGGGCATGGAAGAATTACTACATAATTACTATTGTAGTCATCTAGCTTTCAAGGTCTACTCAAATGCCACCTCCTCCTTGAACCCTTCCCTGTGCCTCCCTTCTCCACCCTACTGGGACTGCCCCTTGCAGCTGCCCTCCCTCCAATGCCTTTTAAGAACTGTGTTGGGGGCCTCCCAGGTGGCGCAGCGGTTGAGCGCTGGGTTGCGAAGCTGCCCGCGGCCTCTGCGGCGCCGGTTCGATCCCCGGCTGCTCCCCGGCCACCGGAGGAGGGTCCCACATGGCGCGCAGACCTCTCCTGCCGCCCGCTGCTCCCCTCAGCAGTGTACTTTGGTCCTTCTGCCTGTTCTGCTCCCTGCTCTGGCTCTGGTGAATTCTCTCACCCTCCCTGCTTCTGACTGTACCCAGTGCTTGTATAAACCAACCAAACAAACAAACAAATAGATAAATAAATAAGACATGCCTCTAGAAAATTAAAAAAAAAAAATTAAAAAAAAAAAAAAGAACTGTGCTGGTGAGTTCCCCAAGGACCCCAGCTGGGTCCAGTTCTCCCCCCACCCCTAGGTGCCTGGCATGAGACTGGGAGACATCTGGGCCAATCTGCCTTGGCTCTGACCCTGACCCCCAACCCCAGGGGGCCTTCTTTCCTCTATCAGAGTGGAACTGGAGCCTGCCCAACCAGGCGGTGGAGCCCCAGCTGCAGGAAGAGGAGCGGATGGTGTACGTGGCTTTCTCTGAATTCTTCTTTGATTCTGCTTTGGAGAGCTACTTCCGGGCAGGGGTCCTACAGCTATCACTGGTGGGGGACAAGGTATGCCAAGGCCTACTTGTGGGGTGGGCAAGAGGGAGCCTGTGATGGAGCTCACAATGACTCTGCCTTCCCCCAACCCCCTGTCCAGGTGCCTCATGATCTGGACATAGTTCTGAGGGCCTCCTACTTAGGGAGTATCGTCCTGCTGGTGAGTACTGGGGGCTCGGTGCATGGACAGGGTGCATGGCTAGTGAGGCAGAGGCCCTAGGCAGCCATGGAGTAGACAAAAGGCTGGCCACTCACCCAGGCCAAATCCCTCATCTTGCCTTCCCTGTTCCCAAATCTACGAAGGGAGCTTGCTACCTCCTGCTCATCTCCTTCGCAGAGCCATGATGAGGATGGGTGAGCACCCACCCTCTGCAAGCACAGGGGCTTGGACACCCACTGATATGTTCTTTTCACTTATTTTCCCTTATTTAGTGGGGGCAGGGGTGGGAGGTGAAGAAATAGTTAAGTGGCCATTGAAGGATATAGCCTCGGTTCAGTTTTATAAATGACAGAGCTGGGACTTGACCCTGGATTCGAATCTGTGTGATTCAAGATCACACTGGCTTTCTCTTCTGCACCACACAAGCTCACAGGGGTGTCTGAATATCAGTGAATTCATGCATGATAAGCATGAAGATCAACACCTGGTGCAGGGAGAGCTCTGTACACCCTACGATCCTCTTTCCTGCTGTGATTGCTGTTGTCATTGGAGTTGACAACTCAGCACTGTCCCCAGCATGGACTCCCTGGCAACCAAAAAGCCACAAAACCTTGGACTGATTGTTTGACTTTGCTGTGCCGCAATATCTCCAGCTCAAAAATGAGAATAATTTTACCTGCTTCTCATAGCTACCGCGAGGTTGCATTGAGCTACTAACACATGTGAAGTGTGCGGTGAAGAGTAAGCACTTGGTCAGTGTGGGCATCTGCAGGGACTCTTACACTGCCTGCAGACAGGGCAGTCTGGCGGGAGTTAGGACAGTTAGTGCAGACTGTCCCTAAGAGCCGAGATTAGAGACAGATCCTGAATATTTGTAACTTAGGGAGGCAGAGAGGAGACATGCCTAGAATCAGCCATTCCTTGGTGTGAGCAAGTGCGCAAAGGCTGCACACAGTTCCGGAGGGTTGGAGAAGCCACCCCAGTCTTCATGTTTTCCAGTTTCTGTGCTCCCAGTGGCCACAGATCTGGGACTTGACCTGTCCTCCTCCCTGCTCTGTCCTCAGAGCCCCGCAGTGATTGACTCCCCGCTGAAGCTGGAGCTGCGGGTCTTGACCCCACCGCGTTGCACCATCAAGCCCTCCGGCACCACGGTGTCTGTCACCGCCAGCGTCACCATCGCCCTGGTGCCGCCTGACCAGCCCGAGGTCCAGCTGTCCAGCATGACCATGGTGCGGGCATTAGAGTGCGGGCTGCCGAGGGTCAGGGAGAAGCGGGCTATGGACCCTTGGGATCAGTAACACCCCCTCCCCACTTACCTGCAGGACTTGCGGCTCAGTGCCAAGATGTCGCTCCAGGGGAAGGCGCTGCGCATGCAGCTGGACCTGCGCAGGTAGGCGGGTCGGTGGGACCGGGCAAGCCCTTGACCTCAGAGGGCTTGGGACCCTCACACCTGCCTTAGCTGGAGAGCTAAGATGCAGTCACACCGAAAGGCCACTAGAGAGCTGGGCTCTCAATCTTAAAATGCGCTTTACTCAAGTGTCACTTGTCAGCATCCCCCTGGCCACCAGGAGGCAGGCAGAACAGGCGTGATGACATGACCAGACAGACAGCAAGGTTAAGCGACAAGTCCACAGTCACACAGCAGAGCGCCCAGCATGGGTTTTGGCAGCGGCCGCAGCACACCTTAGCTGGGTGATCTCGAGACAACTCATTTTATCTTTCTCAACTTCTTTTTCTTCCTACGTGGAGGTGAAAGTCACTCGACTTGGAGGGGCTGCGCTATGCATTACGGTAGACACTAGTCACACGTGGCCACATTTAAATGAACACATTTACTCCTTCCCAGTGGCATGAGCCACATTCCTATGGCCACCAGGAGCGAGTGGCCACACACACACAGCGCTGAGACAGATCACTTACATGAAGCCCGATCGGCCAGGCGACTCCGGGGCTAAATGAGATGGTGCAGGGTAGTGGTTAAACGTCTACATTTTGGAAGTAGGGTCCGCCATTTTCCAGCTGTGGGACCTCAGGCCAATGACTTCACCTCCCTGGGTCTCATTTGCCTCAACTATAAAGTGCATTTTGCAACAGCGCCTGCTTAGTAGCGTTGTTATGAAGATTAAATCAGTTGGCACTATAAAATATTTTTAAAATGTTTAACCTCGTAAACATGTTTATCACCTGTCAGTTTTGGTAGATAAACATGTTTACTGTCAGTTTCGTTAAATAAAAATTAACGTGCAAGGGCCTCCCCGGTGGCGCAGCGGTTGAGCGCTGGGTTGCGAAGCTGCCCGCGGCCTCTGCGGCGCCGATTCGATCCCCGGCTGCTCCCCGGCCACCAGAGGAGGGTCCCACATGGCGCGCAGACCTCTCCTGCCGCCCGCTGCTCCCCTCAGCAGTGTACTTCGGTCCTTCTGCCTGCTCTGCTCCCCGCTCTGGCTCTGGTGAATTCTCTCACCCTCCCGCGCTTCTGACTGTACCCAGTGCATGTATAAACAAAACAAACAAACAAACCAGCAAACAAATAAATAAAGCATGCCTCTATAAAAAAAAAAAAAAAAATTAACGTGCAAAACCATCAGCAGGAGTGTGGCATGTCATCCATAGAAAGGTGATGGGGGACTAAGGGGCTCCTAAGGGTAGGTCATGGTGGGCTAAGGAAGGGGAGCTTCCAGACACTTCTTTCTCTCCCACAGGTTCCGAATCTACTCAAATCATTCCGCACTGGAGTCTCTGGCAGTGAGTGGCGGCTGGGTGGGCCCCGGAGCTGGGCGAGCAGCCAAGCAACCCACCCTCTACTCACTGCCCTGACTTCATTTCCTCCTCCCTCCCAGCTGATCCCGCTGCAGGCACCTCTGAAGACCATGCTGCAGATTGGGGTGATGCCCATGATTAATGGTAGGGTTGGGGGTGTGGGGAGGGAGGAGGAAAGGCGAGGGGAACTGTGTGGGCCCAGACTGAGCTCGCTGTTCCCACCCTCAGAGCAGACCTGGCGTGGAGTGCAGATCCCGCTACCTGAGGGGATCAACTTTGTGCGCGAGGTGGTGACAAACCATGCAGTAAGTGGGCATGACAGGGCAGGCGGGCAGAGCCTCCCCGCCCCCCAGAGCCCTCCAGAGCTCTCCATGACCTGAACCCAGCTCCTTATCCATGCCCCCCTCCATTTTAATCTTACATCACTCTTCTGGTCCTTTGCACACGCCTCCCTGATTCCACTCCCAAAGCTGCTAGCTAATCTCTCAAGTCTTAGGGAAGAGGTCACCTCCTTCAGGAAGCCCTCCTTGATGCCCACAGGCCATGTTCCTGCAGGCTATTTTTCAGCACTCTTCACACAGTTATGAAAACCACTTTGCTGCTCCACTTCTCCCACTAGAGACTGATAATCCTAGCAACCAAGGACTCAGCCTCTATTACTAAACTCTAGCCTCGGTAATGGAGTGAGTAGTTCTTTCTCCCCCACTGCACAGGGCTACCTCACCATCGGGGCTGACCTTCACTTTGCAAAAGGGCTGCGAGAGGTGATTGAGAAGAACCGAGCTGCTGACACCAGGGAGCCCCAGGCATCCAGCGCCCCACCGCCTTCCACGGCAGCCGTCTGAGCCTCCACCTCCACGCCGGCAGCTGCATTCAGGACTCCAGGACCTCTCACCCCCTTACAGCCTAGTGTCCTCCCTAACCCCCAGTGCCACAGAGAAGACAGGGTTTTAAGCTGTACCCAATTTAATTCCATCATCACGGTCAGTCCATCAATTATAGTCCAGCATCTCCCTCCAGTGGGCTGCCCTGAGCTCTGTTGTTTTTGGGGTGGGATCAGTGCATTCTAAAAGCAGGGAGGCAGCCAGACCCCACCCCAATCAGGAATAAAGTGCTGTCTATGAGAGGCACTGGGGCCCCGTCTGGAATCCACAGGGCTTTGCAGGGGGGCAGGGACCTGTCCTGCAGGGGTGTTTTGCATAAAGGAGGATCTCCTTTCTAGCAGGAGAGGCTGGGAGGGGCTGGGTCAGGCAGTGAGGGCTGGCCCCGAGGTCATCAGTATGGCTCCTTATTCAGGAAGCGGGAGAACATGGTGAGAGCAGCCTGGGGCTTGTCAGTGGGGACCATGTGGCCAGCGCCCTGGACAAAGGAGAAAGCTTTGTGAGATTCTGCCCCCAACAGGTAACCTCCCTTATATCCCCTGCCCCTTCATACTTCCCTCATGCCACTGAATCCCTCTAGCCGGTGACCTTTCTCCACCCCCAGCCCTCCATTCTTCCCATCACCCCCATAAAGCTTGCTCTTATAGAGCCAGATGGTAACTCAGCACACAAGGGAGCCAGGAGGAGGAGATGGATGGGTCCTGTCCCTTAGCCCCAGCCAGCGCTCACCAGCCCTACCTTGATGGTGAGAAAAGCGATGTGGGAGAACTCTTTCACGAAGCCAGCAATCTGCTCCCCGCTGTCCCCGTAGTTCACTAACCAGGGCCGGCGCTGTACCTCCACCTGCCGCACCGGAAAGATTAGCAGCCTGCAGCTGCCCCGTGCTCTCACAGCGGCCAGCAGGACCCCAGGGGCTGGGAGCTCCTCAGATTAGCCCCTCTGTCCTCCAGATCCACAATGCCAGGCACGGCCACCCTAACCCACGCCTGGCCTCACCCCCGGGGGCTTGGATCCCTGCCTCACCTTCTGGTTGAGGGAATCCACAAACCACTCATCCCCCATGAAATTGCAGGCCATGTCCACATCTCCGTTGTATAGCAGGATCCGGTATTTCTAGAGTGGGAGGGGGAAGGTTCTGGACTAGCCCAGGCCACAGCTCATCCCTAATTCAAGCCCTGCCCTCAGGGAATTCAAGGGTTCAGGTAAATAACATGAACCAGGAAATCCTCGTGTACTCTGGCTACTCACAAGCCTGGTGCTCTGCCAAATGCTTTTCCTCTGAAGGTAGATACTGTTATTTACCCCATTTAATGGATGGGGAGTCTCCTTGCCTTGGATCACACCACAAGAAAAGGCATTTGCACCCAGGCAATCTGACCTCAGCCCGGGCACTGATCACTGTGCTCTCTGGAACCCCCGCTGGCCCATTTGTGACAAAACCCTGCTAGCTCTTCTCGCTCCAAAGGTTCCTTGGCCAATGAGACCCCTCAGCCTCCTATAGCAGGGTTCGAATCCTGACCCTGCAACCTCGTGGCCTTGGGCAGGTGACCTCAGCTCTTGGAGTTCCAGTTATCCCTGTTCAGAGTGCCCCTGTGCTCTCCAGGGCCCCCGCCTTGCCAAGACGCTATGGCCTCCTGAGCTTGCTCACCTGTGTGCTGAGCAGCTTGAGGTACTGGGAGTTCATGCTTTGGTAGAGGCGGCGGTACTGTAAATTCACCAAGAAGCTGCAGAGCACGTGGGAGGCCCCGGGAAGACCAGGGAAGGGGATGGGGAAAAAGTCAACAGATCAGATTCCCTGTACTATCCCAAACTCCAGCCTAGGCCCCAGATGGCTGGCATTCAGGCTCCTCTATGGGCACGCCACCACCCTGAGTCACCACTCTGAGAGGGGGGCTGGGACTGACAGGAATTTAGAAGTCATCAACCCACCCCCATTTAGAAGCGTATAGAGACACTGGTTGTTATAGTGACTGGAATGCAACTGGCCTTGAGCGCTCTGGGGCCAGCAGATGTGACAGCCACAGCGTGTGACATAGGGCGGGGTATGGCACTGACCAGTCATCAGAGCTGACCTGCCGTGCCAGCTGGACTTAAGGGCTCGCATAAGGAGTCTCTCACTCAGGAAATCCAGGGAGGTACTGGAGTCATGTGGGAACAGGCAAGGCTGAGGGTGGGGGCGTCAATTTACTAAAATGCCATGAAAGTCACCACTCTTTCAACAACTGTGGTCACGTGACTGAACTGGCTGGACCTCGATCAGCTCCAGAGCCTGGGATGTGAACCTCTGTGTTTCCTGTCATCCACTGCGTGCCCCCGGTGCCCTCACTGAGAAACCCTCGCCAGAGGATCCCTGGGCACTTCTGATGCCCACTAGCCCCAGCCATCTGCCACCCCCCATGAGCACCCCAGAACCTCACTTGCACATGTCCCAGTGGGGTAGCTGCTCGGGGATGTGGAGGGCCTTCCGCACGTAGGGGTTGTTGAGGTAGGTGGAGGCGGCTGTGGTGTTGGTGCAGGGGGGGTCCAGGCGCACTTTCTCTCCAGAACGCAGCAGGGCCTGGGAGGGGGGCACAGACAGTGGGTCAGGGTCTTCACTCCTCTGGCCACCCCGCCCCGGGAGCAGGTGCATGCCCCTGCGCACCTTATGTAACGTCCGCTTGAGCGGCAGGCGGGTGAAGAGGTTGCCCAGATCCTGGATCACGACAGTGTCCTTCTTGTAGCTGCAAGTCAAGTGGGAGGCGGGTATCTGAGCCTCCAGGCGGGGCTGCAGTGGCCCCAGGGACCCAGGGCAGGACCTACCTCACATCACCAGGCACTCCCCCAGCACATGGGGCGTAGAGGTTGTAGATGTTGAGGCCAGAGTTGCCAACGATGCGGGACACTTCCTGAAGCTGCAATGACACGCCCAGCCAAGCTTTACGGTAGCCTGGCCTCCGCACCCCGCCGATTTGCGCCAGGATTCACGCTCTCATGCTTCACCCTTTGTCATCACCCCAAACCAACTTCCGCAAGTAGGGAAACTGCGGCTCAGCAGAAGGCGTCTGCCAGACCTGCGCCTAAACCCTAACGCCACCATTTCCTAGCACTGTGACGTTGGCATTCGCAGCCTGTTTCCTCACCTGGAAAGTGTGGGCAACACCATCTCCCTTGGAGGAGAATCTTGGAGATTAATCTATGTGTACATAGTTCAGTGGGGTGCCTGGCACACTGTGGGTGTTTGAAAAATGTGAAGTCCTGCCCCAAACCCAGAAAGTCACAGGAAGTGGCAGTGGAGACACCTCAACAGACATGTCCTGGAGGACACCATACTGAAAGGTGCAGGACAGGACAGCAGTGGGCATGGGTCTGGGGTCCCTGTGGAGGGGATGTGGTCCTATTCTCAGGGCTGGGGGTGTCAGGGCTGGTGCGTGATGGGGGCAGAACCTCACATTGGTCACACACTCTGGGTCTTTGTTGTCATAGAAGTTACACTTGTTTTGGGAGCAGCAGTGGTCCTGGAGGGAAGACCAGAGCCTGTAGGAGGTCAGAATGAAAGTGCTTAGGCCCATGGTGGGTGGAGAGAACCCATCTGCCCCCTCCAATCTCCCATCAGGCCAGTCTGACCCCAGGGGATGGGGAAATGTGTCACAGCAGATGGAATCTATGCCACCAGCTGTCTTACTTCCTCAGTCCTGATCTCTATCCCTCAGCCTCTCCGCACCAAAGCCTTCCAGGGACCCCAGCCCCCCCTCCTTGTGCTCATAAAGCAGGTGCCTAGAGGACAGGCCTGACCCGCCCTGCCCTGGAGATTGCCCAACTGCCCCCTCCCATACCTGTTCCCCAGAAGACCATGGTAGTAGGCGAAGTAGACCAGGGAGTTGTCATTCTGCTCATAGGAAGATAGTCCATTGCCCACAGCCAGTCCCTGTAAAATACCCACGGTGTTCAGCTCATCCAGAAGGCAAGAAGGAGCCTCCCGTGACCTACACCCAGACCTGCAGCCATCTGGAAGTTGAAACCCAAGTTGGCAACTTGACAGGTGAACTTCCTGCCACAGGAGGCACATCAACAGACAGACCAGCTAGTACCAGGGAGGTGATAAAGGCAGGGGGGTGGGGGCATGACCCGTTTGAGCTCGATAACCACAAGGCTGAGGCCACAAGTTGCCCCCCTTCTCCCCTGCACCTGAAGGTTCATGCTAGGGTCCTCCATGACCAACACAGCCAGGGTAGGGATATAGATGCCAGCATAGCTCTCTCCCGTCAGGAAAAGCTCGTTGTCCTTGTACTCAGGGAAGAGGCGGAAGAAATCTTGAAGGGCCTCAAAATTGCTCTGGGCCACCTGGGTTCAGTAGGATGGAGGGAATCAGGAGACTCTGGCATTTGAGCTAGAAAGAATCCCAGAGATAATGACACCAACCCACCCTGTTGGCACAGAGGAAGTGACTTGGCCAAGACCACAACATGTAGCACGTAACAGTCAAACCCAGACTCCAAGAGAGGCTCTTTCTCGCATCGTGCCAACTCTACAGATCTGGGGAGGGTGCGGCACGTGGGCAGATACCAGACTCACCTCGGTGTCATTGGTCGCATAAAACTTGTCAGTGGAGTAGGAGAAGCCCACCCCGGCTGGGGACTCGAGGTACAGCACGTTGGCAATCTGGAGTGGAGGAGGCAAGGAGCTGAAGAGGGCCCCCCCACCTCATCCCAGTGCCCAGACACCCTACAGGACCCACAGCCCTGGCTATACCAGGTTCCAAGAATAGGGGTTGTACTCCAGGGTGACACCATCTGGCTGGATCTGAGGAGGAAAGAAAAGGCTCAGTAAGTCCCAAGAGCCCCACACGCTGGGTACTTTCCGCTAACCCGGGGGTGGAGGAGGTGGTCCAGATGAAGTGCCTGAGGTCTAGGAAAAGAAAACCCTGGGGAACACTCCCGAGGTCCTCCTTGTCTCTCTCTGGGGCCAGGAGGAAGGAGCTGCTTTCCACTCACCAGGAAGGGGCCATGCTCTGTGAGGAAGCCGTCCAGGGAGCTGCAGCCCGGCCCCCCGTTCAGCCAGAGCACCAAAGGGCTCTTCTTGGGATCCTTCTGGGACTCCACGAACCTGGGAAGGGAGTCAGGGCAGAGTGGGTGCCAGTGGAGGGCTCCCTGTTCTCAGGCTCCCCTCAGGGGACTTCACGCACATCGTCTCCCTGGTGGACATCGCTTCCACCCCACCCCACCCCGCCCCGGGGGTCCCCAAACCCGCTCGGACCAGTAGTGGAGGCGCTTGGAGCCGGAGCCCTTGAGGTAGCCGGAGTACTGGCGGAAAGCCGGCTGCTTGGCCAGCCCGGGCAGGCACTGGACCTCGTCCTGGTCGGGGGCCGCCTGGCCTCGGGGCGCCCCGGACAGCAGCAGCAGCAGGAGGAAGGGCGGCGACAGCGCGGCTCGGGCCATCTGCGGAAGGAAGCCGGGGCTGCTGTTTACGCCGCGCTCGCTCGCTCGGCGCTCGGCGCTCGGGTGCAGCCGCCGCGGGAGCGCATCGGGGGCCCGGGCGAGGGGAGCCGCGCCTCGCGGGCCCACCCGCCGAGCCTTCTCCGCGGCCGGGGCTCCGGGACCCCTTCCAGCCTCCGGCGTCTCCTCACCTCGGCTCCCCCGCGTCCTTGCTCTCCAGGAGGCGCCGGGCGGCTGGAAGTCATGTGTGCCCGGAGTCACGTGGGCTCCGGGGTCACGTGACGGGCGGGCTCCGGGCCCCTGGGACACAGCCAGCCGGGCGGGGAGGGCGGGGAGGGCCGGGCGGGGGTGGGGCTGGCCACGCGGGGTCGGGGTCCGCGGGGCTGGCCGGCCGCACCCCGGGCGCCCGCGCTCAGCTGACCCGCGTGGCCCGCCGGGCGCCCGGGGCGGGCAGTGCCCGGCCGGCGGGCTGAGCCGGCGCTAGGACCCCCGGGCAGAGCGCAGGGACGGAGTGGGGGGAGCAGTACCTTACATGGTGCCCCCGCGGCTGCCATCTGAGCCCCACGCCCGAAATAGCCCCGGCTCCAGCCGGCGGGCTCATGGCCGGGACATGGCCGCTGTCTTCGAGCCCGGGGAACTGGGGGCGCCCTGGGGGCCTGCGAGCTCCGCGCCCCCTCCCACCCGCTTCCACAGGGTGCACGGCGCCAACATCCGCGTGGACCCCTCCGGGACGCGGGCCACGCGCGTCGAGAGCTTCGCCCACGGCGTGTGCTTCAGTCGCGAACCGCTGGCCCCGGGCCAGGTGTTCCTGGTCGAGATCGAAGAGAAAGAGCTGGGCTGGTGCGGACACCTGCGCCTCGGCCTGACCGCCCTGGACCCCGCGGGGCTGGCTGCGGTGCCCGAGTTTTCCATGCCCGACCTGGTCAGCCTCGGCCACACCTGGGTCTTCGCTATCACCCGCCATCATAACCGCGTGCCCCGGGAGGGCAGGCCAGAGGCCGAGGGAGCGGCAGCGGCCCCCAGCCGCCCGCCAACCCTCCTGGTGGAGCCGTATCTGTGCATCGAGCAGTTTCGAATTCCCCGCGATCGCCTGGTGGGCCGCAGCCGGCCAGGCCTCTACAGCCACCTGTTGGACCAGCTCTATGAGCTGAACGTGCTGCCTCCCACTGCGCGCCGCAGCCGCCTGGGCGTTCTCTTCTGCCCGCGCCCAGATGGCACTGCAGACATGCACATCGTCATCAACGGGGAGGACATGGGCCCCAGCGCCCGGGGGCTGCCGGTCACGCAGCCCCTCTACGCAGTGGTGGACGTGTTTGCCTCCACCAAGAGCGTGCGCCTGGTGCAGCTGGAGTATGGCTGTAGGTATCCAGCCCCGGCCCACAGTGGGGAAAGGAAACTGCTAGAACTCCCTAGCCAGCTCTGTTGGCATTAGTTTAGAACGTGGGACTCTGACGCTAAATTCAACATTTGCTTGTGACCTTGGGCAAGTCAGTCCCTGGTTCTGGGCCTCAGTTTACCCATTCTAGATGTGATTGATCAGGGTACCCTGTAAGCTTTGACAATATTTCCTGTAGTGACCAAGAGCAGGCGTACTAGACTGATTGGCCTCTTGCCAACTGCGTGTTCTTTTGTTAACCAAACACCCGTAGATTTGCACGCCAATTTAAAGGCAGCACAGACCCCAAATGGAGGGCTTCTTAATCCTGAGGTCTCATTCAGTATAGCCCTCTTAAGCTCTTTATTTATATCTCTGATCACACTTTATGAATTATGTGAACCTGCTCTGTGTCAGGCCTGGAGACTACCAGCTAAATCAGCCCCTACCACAGCCCAGAACCTGCTGAGTGAGAGGGAAGGGAGCGCGCTAAGTGTCGTAACAGAAACAGGGCTGATGTGTTGTGAAAGAGGAGCTTATCTCAGTCACCTGAGTGGCATGTGAAGCGGGGTGGGACTGGAGAGCAAAAGCTGCTTGCCCAGATTGACCCAAAGGGGAGACCAAGGCCTCAGACCCACCCTCAGTTCAGCTTGCCTCTGACGGCATTCTCTCCACAGTGCCATCCCTGCAGACGCTGTGCCGCCTGGTCATCCAGCGGAGTGTGGTGCACCGCTTGGCCATTGATGGCCTCCACCTGCCCAAAGGACTTAAGGATTTCTGCAAGTATGAGTGAAGACCTGTGGTCCCCTGAGCAGGACCACAGTGGCCTCCTGAGCGTCGCGGCCCCCAAACTGTGGTTAGTCAGAAGTTGGCCACACTGCTGCCAGTCAGGACTAGAAATAAACTCAGCCAGTGCTGACACTGATAGTGGAGGGTCTCCTGGCCCCTGAAGCCCAAGAGGGGCACTTCTTTTAGAATCATCGTGGGTTGGCAGGTAGCAGCAAAAAAGAAAGCATTTTAGACATCAGCCAAATCAGTGTTTCCAAGCCTGACTGAGCATTTGTTATCTAGGACACAAAGAATGCTGAGCCCCTAGAGAGAATCTCCAGAGATTCTCACTTGATTTGCCAGAGGGTAACACACATTTTTCCCCCTGAAAACGCCCGTGGAGATTCTAATGTACAGCCAGATTTGAGAAACATTTCCCTGAGCTTCGACACATATTAAAACCACTTTAGGGGGCCTCCCTGGTGGCGCAAGGGGTTAAGACACAACCTAAGAGCTCCCCACATGGCGCAGCAGACCTCTCCTGATTCGCCCGCTGCTCCCCTCAGCAGTGTACTTTGGTCAATCTGCCTGTTCTGCTCTCTACTCTGTCTCCGGTGAATCTTCTCACCCCCACATCTCTGGCCTGTACCCCAGTTCTTGATGCATAAATAAATCAATCTTAAAAAATAAAAAGCACTTGAGGAATGTTGATAAAGACTGATAGATGGGAGTGTTACAGTTCTTTTAGAATTTGTCTAGCAGGTTTTCTGGTCCTCACAGGAAGACCCAATTAAAAAAAAGAAAAGAAAAAAAGACTGATAGATGGGTCTGACCCTGGGATTCTGATTTAATTGGCATGGGAGGTGGGGCATTCATTGGGATTTCTAAAAGCTTCCAAGAGATTCTAATATGCAGTCTGGACTGAGAACCAGTGCCCGAGACCAATGGTTTTACTTCTTTGATGAGAAACTGAAGTCCAGAGCTGGGACTAAGTGAATGGATGGTCGGACGGACGGATGGACAGAGTGCAGCATATTCCTTCTCGCACATCACAGGGCACAAAGCATGAGATGTCTTTATTGGCATCTCCCATTAGTTGCCTCCATACATATGATCTCATTTTGTCCTCACCACTCCTGGTGAGGTAGTGGGAAGTCATCACCCCCACTTCACAAATGAGGATATGAAGGAACAAAACTGTCCAGGGACTTGTTCAAAGTAAAGGCAAGAACTTAGAACCCCAGTTTCCAGCCCAGTGCTCTTTGTCCTACCCCATCCCATTGTCATATGCAGGTTCTAGAATGAACGGGACAATGCTGTCAAGTAGATTCCAGGTGTAAAAAGAAGGGACTGTGAGGCAATGTTCTAGAAGAGTGGAGCCCACAGGGCAGGAGGCAGAAGACTATTCCCTCACAAACAGGGGCTTGGGTGCAGCCATGTCCTATTTCATGGCTCCACAAACTCATCTAGCCCTTCTGCCTTCCCACCAAGGTGAGAGAGGGGCTCCTGGAAGTGGGGGGTAGGGTGGTGGCATGACCTCCCCTGAGGAGCTGCTGCTTGGCTCGGGGGAGGTAGAGGTTCTGCTGGGTATTTTGGGAGCTGGGCCTGGAGTCAGTTCTCAGAGAGGAAAAGTCATTCCAGAATCCCTCCGATAGCTACCCACTTGCTTGCTCACTCATTCCACAAACATCTCTCTACCACCTACTCAGCATTGGGGAATGCGGGGGTGTGGGTATGAGTAAAACTTAGTTTCCAACCGCTAGACAGTCCTCTTGGAGTGATCTTAATTGCTCCTGTCCCTACACTCTGTTCCTATGCCCTGCCCCTCAGGGCTACCTGCTACAAGAGACCAAGAATAACATTCCATCTCATTCCTGTCTCTGCAGGTGGGGCTGCTTCTCCAGGCTCGTCCCTTGGGCTCTATAGTCCTGTAGAGCCAGTGGTGGTGGCCTCTGGTGGACTAGGCCCACTGAGCCAGAAAGCTGAGCAGGTGGCATCTGCTAACCAGGCCTGGGGCCCCGCCTTGGCAGTGCCGGAAGCCAGGGGCCGCCCTGGGGGGGCTAGCTGGGAGACACTGCGGCAGAAGGAGTACGGCCGATACTGCCACAAATTCCCCAACGCGAGGCAGCCGGAGAGCCTGGGCTGGGAGGATGGCTGCTCCAGAAACAGAACTCCCCACCTGGGTGGCCCCAGCAGGCCTGGGCCCCTGCTGCTGTGTGGGCTGTCACCAGGGGTCCTGCCGATGCCCTCTGAGGCAGGGGGGAAGGAGGCCAGCTCCCAACCTGACATCTGCATCCTAACCCTGGCCATGATGATCGCTGGCATCCCCACCGTGCCCGTCCCAGGCCTGCGGGAAGAGGACCTGATCCGGGCAGCTCAAGCTTTCATGATGGCCCATCCGGAGCCAGAGGGGGCTGTGGAAGGGGCACAGTGGGAGCAGGCGCATGCACACACAGCCTCTGGGCAGATGCCCCTAGCAAGGTCCAGGAGGGGCGAGCCTCCTGGCTCCTGCTTGTAGCTGGATGAAATAGCACCAGACCATAGGGTGGCTTCTCTGTATTGTTTTTGGGCAGACAGGGTTGGGGTGCAGGGAGGGGACAGGGTGGTTATTTCAGCCACTGCCATGAACGCCAATTCTTCATCAGGGCCCAGATTCCAGGAAGTTTCTCCAGATCCACTAGGCCAAGAAATTGGTCTGGCTTGAGTTGCTAAGAGCACCTGAGGCAGGGAGCACTTCCTGTAGAGTGGAGGCATCTTTTGCATTGTTCAGGGATCAGATCAAAATTTCTTGTACTGAGCCTTAAGCAATGTAAATTTTTCTCTTGTCCTCCATTTCCCAGGCTGCTGAGGGCAGGCGATGGGCCCGTGGGCACGGAAGGAAAAGTAACACTTACATGAGCTCTCACAGGGCATGCAGCCACCACACACTGTTCTCCTTTAATCTTACCAACGCTGGGGGCGGGGTCTCCCTCCTCACAGATGGCCAAATTGAGGCTTAGAGAGGTGATTTGTCTCAAGTCAAGCCCCATAGCTAGTAAAAGGCAGAATTGCTTCAAAAATCAGGTCGGGAAAGAATCGGGATTCGTGGGTGGCGTGAGCCGCCAAAGCCTTTATTCTGTCCACAAAAGAAACTGGACAAGTGCTGGAATAGGCAACATTCAACTTTAATGATGTCAAGAAGGGGTGCAGGAAGGGCTGGGGGCCTGACTGCATTATCTCTCCTGAGGGGTTTCTCCCACTGCGGGAAGCCTCCCAGGCCAGCTCACTTGCATGAGAGAGGTCAGGTGAGTTATCTCCTGACTGGGGAAGCCTGGCAAGCCGCAGGCCTCATTTCACCCAGTGTCTTATCACTTATCTTAGAGCAGAGGTCAGTTTGATCTTTTGTAAGGCCCTTGAGCTAATAATGGTTTTTCCCTTTGGAGAGGTTGTCAACAACCACGACCACCCCACAAGAATATACAACAGACTGTACTTGAGGTCAGCAAAGTCTAAATATTTTTACTCCCAGACCCTTTACAGGGACGCTTTGCTGACTCCTTGTTTTGGGAACTAGACACATTTTAGGTGGGCTGCGGAAGAGCCTCATCTTTCTTCCCAGGAAGGCAGGCCCGTGGAAGTGCAACAGTGTGAGTATGTGGGGTGGATGCGAGTGTGTGCATGTGTACACGCCTCTGGACGGTGAGGTGATCAGAGTTGGACCTGCTCATAAGGGCCAATCCAGCTGTCGGCCAGTTCCCGCAGGGTGCTATAGCGCCGTTCAAACTCCTCCTGGCTGCAGTGCTGCAAGAGCTGCCCCACCTCCTCAGTGAGCAGAGCCACTGTCAAATGCTTATCCAGGGTCTCACTCCACTTGCTGCCCAGGATGTCGTCTAGACTGGCGGCGCAGCCTGCTGTCCACTGAGCTGGCAGCATGTCAGGCTGGAGCACCTGGCGGCGGGCGCTGAGCATGGCTAGGATGTGGCGGCAGGGCAGGTGGAAGGCCTGGTTAAAGTAGCAGCTGCAGCTGGCAGGGGGCTGGGGCTGCACCCTGTGGGTGTCCTCTAGGATCTGTATGTTTACCTTCTCTGAGCCAGAGCCAATGAGGTGCATGGATTTCTGGACCACAGCAAGTTCACCCAGGCAAAGCTGGGCTGCCGGCCCCGTACAGATGGCATTGAGGGAGTGCTGGATACGGGCTTCTACCAACTGCTCCACTTTGGGGCTTTCGGGGCTGATGTCCAAGGGAGCATGACTGTTCTGGGGACTCAAGCCCAGGCTGAAACTTGCCTTGTCTCCAGAGTGCTGCTGCATGTATCGAAGCAGAGAGGTCATGCCTTGCTCCACGGATGGGCTGGTGCCAAAGAACTGGCTAAGCATGCAGGTGGTGACCTCCAAGCCCTGGAAGTAGCGGCTGCTCTCGGCTCGGCTTCTCCAGCGGTGGGCCAGCCAGATGCGGTCATTGAGCAGCCAGTGCGAGTGCAGCTCTGGCAGCTGGGCTGGGGGAACGCAGTTGCTCAGAAGTGTATATAACTTCCTCAGATTGCCTGCCGTGGCCGAGCACATTGTGCTCTGCAGGGAGGTCAGCAGCACCCTCTCCACAGTCTGTTCGAGGGACAGCTGGTAGAACTTGCCCTGGAGGAACTTACAAATGTGGAAGGCTGACGGCAGGACTTCCGCTGCGGGGAACTCCATAGCTAAGGTGGGGAGGGGGAGGAAATGGGGATCCACCAGGATGGTACAGACTCTCTCCCAGGCTGGGTTAAACTTCTTGAACACCTGGAACATCTGGGCCAGGCCTTCGGCATCCTCCTTGGCAGGAATGGCAAAGTAGACTGCCCTGGCAAGATGCCCCTCCAGCTGCACCCGAGGTCCATCTACCAGGAAGGTATATAACACCTTGCCTCTTGGGTTATAGGTCCGGTGGATAAACAAGATTTCAGGGAAATGGGAGAAGATGCCCTGCATAAAGCAGCTCTGGTAGTTGAGGGTATCTAACTGGGCAGTCTTGCTAACCTGGTACAGCAGCAGAGACGGGTTTGGGTCCTCAATCAGGAGCTCATTCAGCATTGTCAGGGCCATGGGGGAGATGGGCGATGTCTAGATGCTGGGGTCACAACACCTTGTCTGAGAGCCTGCTCTTCAGGAGGCACAAGGGCTCAAGCTCCAACTAAGTCGAGGCTTGAGGCTGGACGGCAGTTCTCAGATCTTGCTCCAAAGATGGGCCTATGGAGAAAAACACAGGTTTAAGGAAACAGTAGGGGATCAGTTCTTCAAGTCTGGACCCTGGTAATTATTACTATGTATCTGCACTGTTCTGGGGGAGATACACAATAAACAGGTAAACAAATTACAAGGATATGGCAGATAATGAAGGTCACAAAGACCCAACACTGGGTGACAAGTAGAGAGTAAACTGAGAGAGGAATACTTTAGCTTGAGAGGCTAGGAAAACCCCCTGGGGGAATGGAGGGACACGCTGGTGTTGAGACCTGATAAGAGGCCAGTGATGGAAATTTGGTTCCAGGACTTTTCAAGGGGTGTGAAGGTCAAAGTGGCAAATGGTCTTTTTAAAAAAATGGTATTTCAAATATTTGATTAGCACTTTATATCTACAAGTCACTTCCAGACACCCCTTCTTTCATTGGGTCTTGGTATGTACCAGAGAACTGCCACCCGTGCAGCTGCCCAAACGAGCTGTGTGATCTTGGGCAAGTCAGTGACTCTGTGCCTCAATCCCGTCACCCACAAAACGGGCTACCAAATGCACACAAGTTCTTTTGCCTCTCTATAAATTCCTCTATTGCAATACCCTGTTCGAGTGTTTCCTCTACTTGGCCCCAAACTGGGTGACTGTCCCCATTTTACAGATGAGAAACCGAGGCTCAGAAAGGTCAGGTGACTTGCCCACCACTGCCCTGTAAGTAGCTGGAAGCCGAGTCTTTGTCTTGGGATGCTGGCCGCCCTCCACGGTACCTGAGGTCCAAAATGCAGGGCCAGAGGGGACCCGGCTTCTGACCTCTCACCAGGCACCTGGCGGGGAGCAGGAGCGTCCCCCACCCCGCGGGGAGGGCGGCCTGGGCCAGCAGAGAAAGGGACCGCCCGCCCCTTCGGGAGCTGTCATGGCCGACCACGGGCGGCAGTGGCTTCACACCTCCACCCCTTCGGAAATCACTCACCCGCGGCTTGGCTCCGTCGCCATTTCTCCCCATTTGACCCTGCCTCTGCCTCTGCCTGACCTCAAGGATCACCAACCACAGCGCCAGCTTCGGGGTGACTCGAGCCAATGGCCTGAAGAGTTCGCGGACGGGCTTTGGAGCCGCCGGCCAATCACGGCCTGGCGACTCCTGGGCGGGCGCTGTTACCAAGGTTACCAGGGGCTCGGCCGGCAGCGGCCAATGACGGCCCGAGGACACTCGCGCAGGCAGCGCCTGGAAGCCCCGAGGTTGGAACTCTGGAGCCACCCAGCTGTCCGGGTGGCCGGCTGGAAGCCTGTTACTATGGAAACGCCCTCAGATAAGGAAAATGAAAATAAACAGCAGTCCTTGTACGGATTTTTCCTCCTTTTCTGATGGGATTCCAAGACCGAGGGGGCAGGGAGGGGGCTGGGGCGGAAAAGGTCGCCGCTAGCAGCCGTGGCGTGGCCTCAAGCATCACGGGGACACTAGGGCCCAGGTCTCCAGTCAGGGATCAAGTACCCAGCCTTTGGAAGAAACCCATTATCTGTCGAGACAGCGGAACGCTGTGTTGCCCAGCTCAACTTCCAGCATTTTATGTAAGAAAGAGATGCAGAACGGTGCTGCGATTTGGTCAAGGTCAAGGGAAACGAGCGCAAGAACCAGACAGCCTTCCTTCCACCTCCCTTCCCCTGGAGATGGCAGCTTGGCAAGTCGGGTGGCTACCAGGCTCTAGGCCATTAAGGTCACAAACCAGTATCAACAAAACTCAGTGCTGGTAGTTAAAACTGTAAGGAAATGTTTCTATAAATCCATAAGGGAAACTGGGATTAAAACAGGCCGATGCTAAATTTTGCAGAGGAGGAGACAGGTCAAAGAAATTAGGGACCTGTGGACAGTGCCCTAGCAGGCTGCAGACAGCTGCATGTAGGATGCAGTTCCTCCCACCCACCCCCTAGCCTATTTGACCTCCTCCTGCTAGAATAAGGCAGCCTGAAATCAACATTGAAAGCTGGGCAGGCAGGAAGAGGAAGTGGTGGATTGCCAAGTTTTTAAATTTGAGGCATATGCTCTACTTGGCTCCTTCTTAGGAACCCCCATTGATTCCTTCTTTGGTGAAGCAGCACATATTTCCCCTACTTATTTGATTTTGTTAAAAAACAAATAACCCTTTATTTAATACAAATAAAAAGGTACAAATAACAGATCTTTGTGAAGAGCAGCAACAGCCAAGGATCACCCTCTTTCCCTTTGTCCCTGAAAACAGACCCTTTTACCAAGTCCATTTTGTCTCACCCTATCCTGGTGCAGGGGTTCATCTCTGTGAGGTGAACAAGATCTGATCTCAGAGGTCAGGGAAGCAAGGGATAACCTTTTAGCGTGGAGATAACTTTGGCCTTGAACAATGAACGAGGCTCCCAAGGGATGCCAAAGGTAGGGCAGAAAAGGGGTGGATGCAGAGTGCTGTCACAGGGTCGGGTTCTTCTTTTTCTTAGGGTAGTAACAGTCCCAGCCCTGCCTAGGAAGACTCAAGCTAAAACGCTGACCCCTAGCACATCCTGTCCACTTTGAGCTCTCAGGCTTCCAAGGAGGGTTTGTGGTCCAACATGCCAGCACAAGTGCTTCCCTCTCAAATAATGGCCCCAGCAGGGAGCTGTCCCTCTCCTTCCTCCTGCTTTCCCCAGAGGAAAGGGAGGCGGCCCACATCCTTGAAGTCCCCTGGCTGCTGAATGGGCTCAGGCGGCTGGCAGGGGTCGGCCCAGATGTCCACGATCTTGCGCAGGGTAGAGCAGCGCTCCTCCAGCTCCGGCCCCTCACTCTGCATTAGCAGGTTTGCTAGCTCCCTGCTTAGGTCCAGAATCATGTCGTTCCGTCCTTGCCTCCCAAGCTGGCCTGTGTTTGGGACCACAACAGGTTCCCTGAGCTCCCCACTGGGCCCAAGGAGGTGCTGGTACCTCTTCTGCCACCGGCGACACACCATGGCTTCACCCACAGGCTTCTGGCTGGTGTGCAGCAGGGCCAAAATGTGCCGGCACGGCAGATGGTACCACTGTTGAAAGGAACAGCTGCAGCTGCAGCCGTCTTTGCTAACCTGCTGAGAGTCCTCTAGCAGCTGGATGTCCACAGAAGAGCCAGCCATGTCCACCAGGTGGGTAGAGTTCTGTACAACCTCCCATTCATTATGGCACAGCTTATAGGCCAATTCAGAGCCACTCTTGTGCAAGGTGTCCAGCATGCCACCCTGGCAGGGCTGCACCTGTGGCGGCTGCTGCAAATGCACCTGCTGTGGGTCTGGCTTTGTCTCTTCCTCAGGGAGCCTGGCGAGGCTTCCTCCACAGATCCCAAAAGCCTTCTTGGACTTTGGTGGCATGCTGGCTGGCCGGGTTCTCTTCAACTTGGGAGGCGCTGTGGGCAAGTTCTTCAAGCCTTTGGTGTTAAAGGAGTCAACGTAGTCGACAAAGCGGAGGATGCAGTCCATCAGCGACTGCTGCTCGCGAAAGAGGCTGGATACCTTGCTGGTGACAACATCCAGGCTGTCCATGTAGGTGTTACAGGCATGCAGACCCTTCCTGACATGCATGTACCACAGCAGTTCACAGGAGAACCAGTGGGCCTGCAGGAACCCAAAGAGCTCCTCATCTAGTAGGGCTCGGGACATCTGACAGAGGTTTTGTAGGTTGCTGTCAGAAGTGACAAACACCGCCTCCCGCAGGGCTTCCTTCATGAGTCTTTTAAAGGATGGATTTGCTGAGCTACGATGCAACTTCTTCTCCAAGAGTCGGGTCGTGTGGTAGATGGAAAGGAGGATGCGGGCGGCAGGGAAGAGCTCCTGCAGGATGGCTCGATGAGGGAAGGATGGGTCCACAAAGACCACCTTGACCTTGGGCCAATCTGCATTGAACTCCATGAAAATACTCAGCATCTTGGCCACAGATGTGGCCGTCTCGGCCTTGAGCACAGCAAAGTGGACCACTCGACTCTCCCGTTCCTTGTTCTCCACCAAGAAAGCATAGAGGAGGTGGCCCTGGGCATTCTCCACCCGGTGCAGCAAGAGATTCTCTGGGAAGCGGATGAACAGGTCACTCATCTTGCTGCTCTGGAAGCTGAGCCGGTCCAGGTCTTGGCTGTTGCCTACACTGAGGGAGGCCATGGAGCCCTCGTCCACCTTAAGGAAGTTCTTCATCACTTTCGCTATCTTGGCCAGGTCAGAAGGCGTGATGCCCTCCTGTTCTGGCTTCGCAGACGCGTGGACCTTATCTAAGCAAAATGATGGTTCAACTGGGGGCTTCTCAGCTGAGTCAAGGTCTTTCTGGATGGTGGGCTGCGCAGGCTGGGGTTTCTGCAGGCACACTGACTTCTGAGACTTGCCAGTGGTGTTTCCCGCAGAACTTGCAGTTCTGGAATCAACATGTATGTGCTGGGTGTTGAGTTCACTGACAAACAGTCTGTCTAGTTTCTCATTGTACCGCAGGAGCAGGTACGCTGGGCACATGTCTGCCTCTGACGTCCTCTTCCTGTTTGACTGGCTCCGAATACAGACAAATTTCACTTGCACATATCTAGGGAAGGTAGAGGGGACAATGAGAAAGGCGCCAACCACCCCCTTTCTCTTACAAGACAAGCTCCTGCAGGGACTTACAGCGGCTGATATTTGTCCTGGAGACCACAATGTAGTGTAGGATGTAGGGAAGGAAGATTTATATTCACTTTCCAGCCTCAAAAGTCTTCAGCAGGGGCCTCCCTGGTGGCGCAGAGGTTAAAGACAGCACCATCAAGCTATCGCCAGCCACTGCAGCATGAGTTCGATCCCCGGCCAGGGAGCTGACCCACATGGCGCAGCAGACATCTCCTGTCTCACCCGCTGCTCCCCTCAGCAGTGGATTTCAGTCAGTCTGCCTGTTCTGTTCCCCACTCAGTCTCTGGTGACTCCTCTCACCCCCCACACCTCTGGCCTGTACTCCAGCTCTTGTATGCATTAAAAAAAAATAATAATCTTAAAAAAAAAAAAAGTCCTCAGCACTTTAAGACCCCCCCCCAACTCCAACCCCCCTCGTTCTCATCTGCGGCACTTCTAAGCCCCAACTCCCCAACTCCTTTCGTTCTCTCTCTAGCGCCCACCTGTAGCTGTCAACAGTTCAATCCAAGGCAACAGACAAGGGGACAGTGACAAGAAGCAGCAGAGTCCCCAACACCAGAGTCCCCTTCATTCTGCCTTGGGGACCCACCGTTGTCTCCTCCTCTTCCAGCAAAGAAAAACACCCCTCAAAAGTTAGGGGATGTCTGAAGGGGAGGTGTCTTTGGTGTCTCTAAAAGGAAAGATTTCTGCTCATCATTCAATTAAAAATGTCTACATCCTAAAAATTTAAGAAGCCCCAGGCTGGATGATCTTTAGGGTCCCTGCTAGCTTTGCCATTCCAGGCTGACAGTAGTGATTCAAGAGATACCTGCGCCCTTTTCTCTCCCTTTCCATATTCAACCCAACATGTAGGCCCAAATCAGGTACTACCTTCTCCAGGAAGCCTTCTATGCCCTCGAGGCACAGTAGTTGCTTCTTCCTCTGAATTTTAGCACTGATAAAAGGCTTAGGATTCTCTGCATGGCAGTACACCTAGTTCAACACGGGTATGCTGGAGGCTGCCTGCCTGACCAGAAGCTATTTGACCTTGTGCAAGTCACTTCACCTCTGTGCGCAGTTTCCTCATAAAATGAGACTACCTTATCAGGGCTGTTGTGAGGATTAAATAAAGCACAGGCATAACATTTAGCCCAGAGCTGGTTCAGTCTCATTAACAAATAAGTCAGTGACTGTCACTGCAACTCCTCTGCCTGGTGACATTCTCCTGGGTGTTGAGGCAGTGCCTTTCCAACTGGAATGGGCTGTCTTCAGGTGGCAGGACTGGGTTCTTCCCCAATGTATTCCAAGCACCTAACAATGCTATTCCTTCAGCAGATGCTTATCAAAGACACTGGATGAATGACTTCAGGTAAGCTGGTCCCAGCCCAGCACCTTCAGGGAGTATCCCAGCCCAAAGACCAGGGGAGGGGGGAATTCCAGCCCTTGGCATGAAATGACACAGCCTGGATATATCACCAGCCTTCTTCCAAACACTAACCAGCTGGTCCTGTTTGCCCACCTGTGGGGCAAGCTTAGAGAAACAGGATATGTCAAGGCTGCAATAACAGGGTGGAGGGGCCCAGGACTGAAAAGGCCTATACCTGC